TCCCCACCGTCAAACATGGAGGTGGAAACATTATGCTTTGGGGGTGTTTTTCTGCTAAGGGGACAGGACAACTTCACTGCATCAAAGGGATGATGGACGGTGCCATGTACCATCAAATATTGGGTGAGAACCTCCTTCCCTCAGCCAGGGCATTGAAAATGGGTCATGGATGGGTATTCCAGCATGACAATGACCCAAAACACACGGCCAAGGCAACAAAGGAGTGGCTCAAGAAGAAGTGGCCTAGCCAGTCTCCAGACCTTAATCCCATAGAAAACCTGTGGAGGGAGCTGAAGGTTTGAGTTGCCAAACGTCAGCCTCGAAACCTTAATGACTTGGAGAAGATCTGCAAAGAGGAATGGGACAAAATCCCTCCTGAGATGTGTGCAAACCTGGTGGCCAACTACAGGAAACGTCTGACCTCTGTGATTGCCAACAAGGGTTTTGCCACCAAGTACTAAGTCATGTTTTGCAGAGGGGTCAAATACTTATTTCCCTCATTAAAATGCAAATCAATTTATAACATTTTTGACATGCGTTTTTTTTCTGGATTTTTTTGTTGTTATTCTGTCTCTCACTGTTCAAATAAACCTATCATTAAAATTATAGACTGATCATTTCTTTGTCATTGGGCAAACGTACAAAATCAGCAGGGGATCAAATACTTTTTTCCCTCACTGTAGCAATGCACAACACTGTGCTTCCTCCTACTCAGCATCCAACTCACTGGCGGTCATCTGTAAGTTCACAACAAACATTCCGAGACTGTCAATCATCAGATCATTTTTTTCTATCAATCTGTTTATTTATATAGGACACAGTTTTATGTAGAGTAAAGCTAATTCATCAAGAATGTATTTGTTCTCAATATACAGCATGACATTCTGCATATCATGCTCTGACCCAAGGCAGGATGATGATGTATTCTCCAGTTAGCTGTGCTGGTTTTCAAGGCAAACATATTAGATTGTTTTTCCCAAAATATAATTTCATGAGGATTTTAATGGGTTTCAGTACTGGCAGGCAGGCTGCATTCTTCTTATTTGAGCCCTCTGCCTTTCTGAATGCAGTAAGCTGATTCAAGAACCCACTGAGATGTTTGAGGCAATCTAGGGCAACAATGATTACATTGTACATCAATGCAGAAGACAGAACTAGTCAGGTACATTATTTAAATTCATATTATTTCACACATACAGTGCATTCGGAAAGTATTCAGACCCCTTGCCCTATTCCACATTTTGTTAGGTTACAGCCTTATTCTAAAATTGATTAAATTATTTTTTTCCCTCATCAATCTACACACAAACATATTTTTTTACATAAAAAAAACAGAAATATCACATTTTCATAAGTACTCAGACCCTTTACTCTGTTGTACTTTGTTGAAGCACCTTTGGCAGCGATTACAGCCTCAAGTATTTTTGTTTCTCCCATTCTTCTCTGCAGATCCTCTCAAGCTCTGTCAGGTTGGATGGGGAGCGTCGCTGCACAGCTATTTTCAGGTCTCTCCATAGATGTTAGATCGGGTTCAAATCCGGGCTCTGGCTGGGCCACTCAAGGACATTCAGAGACTTGTCCTGAAGCCACTCCTGCGTTGTCTTGGCTGTGTGCTTAGGGTCGTTGTCCTGTTGGAAGGTGAACCTTCATCCCAGTCTGAGGTCCTGAGCGCTCTGGAGCAGGTGTTCATCAAGGATCTCTCTGTACTTTGCTCCGTTCATCTTTCCCTCGATGCTGACTAGTCTCCCAGTCCCTGCCGCTGAAAAACATCCCCAAAGCATGATGCTGCCACCACCATGCTTCACCGCAGGGATGGTGCCAGGTTTCCTCCAGACGTGATGCTTGGCATTCAGGCCAAAGAGTTAAATCTTGGTTTCATCATGTTTCTCATGGTCAGAGTCCTTTAGGTGCCTTATGGCAAACTCCAAGCGGGCTGTCATGTGCCTTTTACTGAGGAGTGGCTTCCGTCTGGCAACTCTACCATAAAGGCCTGATTGGTGGAGTGCTGCAGAGACGGTTGTCCTTCTGGAAGGTTGTCCCATCTCCACAGAGGAACTCTGGAGCTCTGTCAGTGACCATTGGGTTCTTGGTCACCTCCCTGACCAAGGACCTTCTCCCCCAATTGTTCAGTTTGGCCAGCTCTAGGAAGAGTCTTAGTGGTTCCAAACTTCTTCCATTTAAGAATGATGGAGGCCACTGTGTTCTTGGGGACCTTCAATGCTGCAGACATTTTTTGGTACCCTTCCCCAGATCTGTGCCTCGACACAGTCCTGTCTCGGAGCTCTACAGACAATTCCTTCAACCTCATGGCTGGTTTTTGCTCTGACATGCACTGTCAACTGTGGGACCTTACATAGACAGGTGTGTGCCTTTCGAAATTATGTCCAATCAATTTAATTTACCACAGGTGGACTCCAATCACGTTGTAGAAACATCTCAAGGATGATCAATGGAAACAGGATGCACCTGAGCTCAATTTCGAGTCTCATAGCAAAGGGTCTGAATACTTACTAGGTATTTCTGTTTTAATTTTTTATAAATTTCTACAAACCTGTTTTTGCTTTGTCATTATGGGGTATTGTGTGTAGATTGAGGAGGATTTTTTTTATTTAATCCATTTTAGAATAAGGCTGTAACGTATCAAAGTGGAAAAAGGGAAGGGGTCTTTATACTTTCTGAATGCACTATATATATTGTTGTACCTGTTGGCTGCCATTCAGAAGAAGATAAAAACATATATATTCCTAAAGGTACATAACTATAAAGTATTGATCATATTTTAGAGTTTAAAATAATAAATGCGGTATGTACAAAAAATAAGTGGGACTCCATCCCAACCTCCCATCCCATTCCCCCCAACCCCACCCAGCCAACATGTCTCAATCCAACCACCCCTCCCCAGTCCCACATACCCGGAAACCATGTTTTTCACCCCATATATCCACTGGTGAACTGGAAGAGAGTGAAGTAATGGTCATCTAAGAGCCAACATCCTTTTTGCATAAATCATCTCTGATTGATTGAGAGATTCAAGGAGCTATCATCGTCAAGTAACATAGTAGATGCGAAGCATTGAATATTTACATTCATGCATTTTTAAATGAATTTTGTAACTTTGTCCCAGAAGCATTTATCTGCTGGGCACTCCCACATCATATGAAGGAACGTGCCTACCTGATTTAGGGGACACATTTGGGAGTTGGGGCCATTTTCAAGGTAAAACATTTCGTGGTGTTAAATACAGTCTGTGAACAAACTTAAAATCAATAAATTGGTTCGGATTACGGGTTGCCATGGTAATATTTTTCCATATTTTCTTTCCAGTTAAAGGGTTGGTCAGATTCACTTAGCCATTAAAACAGTATGGCTACATATCTAACTCTGAATGTGAGCTTTTCCAAAGTTGTTTATATATTATAGAGATTAGTCCTTTTGGGAGCCCAGATAATTAATTTATAAATCCCATCATTGGATGGTTCGGCAGTTGGGTTTCCCAAGGGACTCCAGAGGCCAGCATAGCTGACCTAAATTGTAAATATAGAAAAAAGGAATTGCCTGTCTTCTCAAATCATGGAATGTTCTCAAACCTGTCCATGATATCGGTAAGGGTATACGGATTCCACATTTGGACCATTGGGGGGATACAATAGGCCACCCTTCAGATCACAAGGCATTATTGTGAAATATTGGAGTCTGGCCATGTTATTTTGATTCTCAGTTAGTTTTTCAAGTGTTTTTTTTTATGAGCACAGCCTACCAGTTGGTCATGATTTATGCCCTCCATAAGCCAGTGGAAAAAGAGTGTGGGAAAAGAGTGACAATGTGATGGGAGGAATAGCCTTCTACTCACATGTTATTGATGGGCTATACACTATATGTTGATTGATAGACTATAATTAAGATCAAGTTCACCTTTTTCCATTTCTGATTAATTAATTTGCATCAAACATTGGCCAAAATAAAAATTGATCTGCCAGGAGAATGTTAAGTGTTTATATAGACCAATAAAGAGGTTCTGCAACCATTTTCTGACAGACCCTGTAAGGAAAGCCTACCACATCTCAGTCTTGGTTCCAGTAACTGATGTAATAGCATGGCCAGCTTGGTTCAGCCCTGGAGCTGAAGATTCAATTTTAAGGCACGGTGAAATCGGATGCTGCCGAATCTAGGTAGCTGCCCATGACAGTGAAAGCACAGTTAGTGATGGACGCAATTGCCATGCAGTTGCGCTCCGACAGTCAAATTTACATTTGCAAATGCTTAACACATCGGTATTTACAAAACGAGTCATGTGACGACCATGAAGATGGCGCATCTTACAGTATATCGCAGTTTTCTGAAAATGTCTTGCCCCTCAATACCAGTTTGGACCGGCGGACAATATCACGAGTGTTAATTATCGTCTAATGACTCAACCCTACAGCCGGGACCCGATATCATGGCGTTGTTGATCATTGAGAATCCGACTTGGTAATGAGCCATAGGCTAATGACTAACCGGGAAATAAATAAATAAACCGTTAAAAAACACATTCCCGTTCCTATCGAGATGCTGCTGCAATAATAGCGTTTGGAGATTAGATTACCGTGTGTGTTGGGTAGGTGGAAACCGAGACTGCATTTTGTGTGACTAGGAGACCCAGCGAGCAGAGCAGACCGGGAGATAAAGGAACCGCGGGCGAAGACATTGGTGGTCCTTTTTCAGTTTTAGCCTCTAATAGCCTATATTTCTAACGAGATGTAGCCTAATCCCGTTCGATACGTAAAGAGCCGGGGATATTCCTATAGCTTTCATTTAGCTACATCCTCCCACGATATCGATAGAATGAGGCTTGGTCTCCAGGTGGAAAAATAACAAAAAATCCCAAGATGTGGATACCGACAGAAGAGGAAAAAATCGGAGTTGGTGAGTCCATTCAGTATTTATCTGGCCATTTGTCATTTTTGATGGCTTGTTTTCAATTTGATTGACTTTTCTCGTTCAAAGCTGATTATGTTCTTATGAAGAAGCGTTGTGATGAACACAGCTTCGCATTTGATCTCATGTTTGGTCACACAGGTAGGGTATTCGCAGCTAACAGTCACAATGTCTCTCATATGTTTTAAATTCATGTAATGAGGCTATAGTTTACAAAACACATAGTCTATCAGCCGTGCTTAATGGCTGAAAATAACCGGACAATAATAAGAGATTGCAAAATATAGGTTACTGCGTGGGATGATATAGCCTAGTATAGGCAGGCTACCTCCGTATTATTGCCTGTATCACCAGTGGCCATCCATAACCTAGGCCTACAGTATGCTTATCATTCACTCATACTAGGTACATTGTATGTTTTGCGTTTTGTAAATGCGTCAATAATAGTGTTCAGATAGGCTTTGAAGAGCATCAGACCCTATCTATCTGAAAAGGCATTCGACTGGAAACCACGAGGGATAGCGTTATGCCAACAGGTGTAGTCTAGAGACTGAGTATGCGCATGCTTACCTGTCGGCATTTGTAACATAGCACCACGACTATTTCGCTACTACTTACTACTACTACCATCTGTGATCTCCAACCACTATCTCATCCCTTGTCTTCATGCTCTAGCCGAATCATTGTGAAAAGTGCTAGTAGCACCAGAGGTAGTGGGTAATTATATCAGGAGTATTGGAACTATCTGCGCAATGTTCCTGACAATTTGAATGAGTCATGTTGAATCAGTTCGCTCAGAACACACACACACATACACTGCTTTGCTTGTTGTGGTATAGGTTCGACAAATACCCAGACTCCAGAACTATTGAGTGGTGTTCAACAAAGAGAAGCCATTGATTTGTCATTGGAGGAGGACAGGAGAGAAGCAACAGTTTGATGAGAGCACGCAGTGTACTGTACCTTTGATGATTCAATCAGACACGTTTTTATTTTCGCTGTCCATGGTGCTGAAAAGTATGCTTCAACCGACCTCTGGCAGGCGCCGCGGTTAGCGTGTTGCGTTCCAGGGTGCTGACATTTTTAGACCAGCGTTTGTCAATTCCGGTTGCACAATTTTGTTAGTACAACATTGCATTGCACACACCTGATTCAGCTAATCAACTAATAGTCAGGTGTGTTAGTGGTGGGTTAGAACAAAATGTGAAACCCTGTAGGTAGGCACACGAATTGAAAAACACCGATGTATACAATGATGCCTACTACAACCAGAGGCATAGGACTGCACGCTGTTAGAAGACCAATGTTGACCAACTGTGTCCATTTTGCTCTACTACTCTGAATTTTGCCAGAGTAATCAAAAGCCACATCATATTCCTCAGATATGTGGGCTGCTGCTGAGGTTTGATGCTTGATATTTGAAGCTGTCCTTGTGAAAACCATGTCCCATGTTGAAAAATACAAACTGACATTGACTTATCAGTTTTGATTGGCAGCATCTCCTAGGAGTCTATGACTATTGATTTTGGGACACACATTTCTTAATTCACCTAATGGTCAGGATTCAGGCAAATGTATCTGTTCCTAGATCTGTTTTAGGGGCAATTTCTACAATACAGTCTAAAAGCAGTTGTACTGTTCTCGGTGGGCCTCATTCATCCTGTCTTATCTTAATGGGCTCAGGCTAACAAAGAACTTTTAGAACCCACTTCATGAAAATGTAATGTCTCCTTTTAGAATACCTCATTATTTAATATTTCCTTGGTTTTTTATTGGACATAATACGTCTCTGTGAACGACTTCATCGTTACTAGACAGTATCTCACCCATGTGTCCTCTTACCCAAACTTTGCAGGTAGTACCGGACAGTTGTATCTGGGGTAATTGGGGTGATATGGTAGTTAGAGATAGCTGTACACATGACTGTATACCCTTCTCACTCTGGTTCAGAAACATCTGACATTGACATGCCCTTGCACCTCCACATGCAATGGCTCAAGTGCAACTAATAAACTAGAACGGCATGGCAATTTGGAGCTATGCTATCTTGGACAATGATGTGGATGGACAGCCATAAGCAAGTAAAGCAGGATATACAACTTAATGTTCAGTTGGGAGGGTGGATTACAGAGATTGGTGTACCCTAAGCACCATTTCTTAATGTTTTGAACCCACTGAGGACACAACCACTGATCACCTCCACTGCTGCAGGTTGTTAGACAGAACTTGAGTGAAAATGCTTCTGGAATCATTCCAGCAATGGGATTTCTTCTCTCACCAGTAAAAAGTTCAGCGTTAGTCCATTATTGCCTATTTTTAAACATTGTTGTGTCTGTGCTGTGTGTGTGTTATTGCGTGCATCTGTATGTGGGTTGGCGGCATGTGTGTCTGTTGGCATCTGTGTATGTGTTCATGTGTGTTTGCGTGACAGTGTTTGCTCATCGAAATTTAATAAAAGGTAACGTGGTCATCATCAAGTAGTCATGTGATCTCCACTGCAGAAGGGTGCCATACTCACTCAGACAGCTGTGGCTGCTGTTCTGAAATCAGATCTGACAAAAGCGCTCGGGCACTCCTGTGGCAGAAGTCCTTAGGTTAGCAGGACCTGAGAACAGCCCAGTGATGCGATGTGTGTCTGAGTGAGTGAGCGTGCATTCAAGTCATGCTGAACAACATAACTCACTGGGCCAAACAGAAAAGGCCCTTGTGTCATTTTTTACTTTGCCATGTGAGGATCTGGGACAGGGTTACTCAATCTAGGAGAGAAGCAGGACCTCCGGGGTCTGCATGCTTAGTCACAATGCATTACTGGAATGGCTAAAGGAACTAATCTGTGATGCGCATCACTGTGATCATCAGCCCTACCAGTAATGTTTTGGTTCTAAAAGCATCCAGGAAGCCATTATGATAGTTTCTATTCAATACAGTACTTAAATAATAGTAAAACAATCACAGATTTAAGAATAAAATGCATACAGTGGTCCAAAAGGGTAAGACACATTGTACGTCAGTAATGTGATGTCCTTCAAGACGTGTATTTCACTGTAGTTTCAGATGATCTTGCAAATAAAGATGCCACAGTTTAAAGGAATAGTTCCCCCAAATTACAAAATGACATTGGTTTCCTTACCCGGTAAGTAGTCTATGGACAAGGTATGACAGCAATCTATGCTTTGGTTTAGTTTCCCTGGCACTGTTTCCACATGCTAACGTTTAAGCATTTGTGGCACAAATCCCATTCAGGTCATGGGACCGATATTAGCATTTTTTGCGAATCATGTCCAAGTCATCCGAAAAGATCTATAATTGATTGTGAAGCTCAACAAAGTCACTTATAGATGATTTAAACTGGATGCGTGAAAATTGCTAATATCCGTCCCAAGACTTGAACGGGATATGCTATTTTGTAATTTGGGTGAACTATCCCTTTAACATCCATCTGTCAGTATGCTCCTTTCTGTACATTCTTTATGGTACCATAAAGCCCCCTCAGAAGCAATGTCCACCCTCGCTGTACTGTTGTTATGCTGTCCCTGTCAACATAATTACTATGTAAATACATTGCTTTAGCTTCAGTTCATATGAAGTAGGCCCAAAAAGAGATGTAGGGTTGCATTTACTCTTGTTGGTGGGGTTTGATGCTTGCTGCCCTTTACACTGCCCTATAGGGCATAGTACAGTACAGTCTAGTACAGTATGTCTCTGTCTCTCTCTCAGCTGCATGTTCTCCTGACCATGTGTGCTGTGCTGCTGTCTGTCTGCTAAATGTTTCCTTCATCAACACAGAATCAAAACTGAACTGAGAGAACAGTAACCTACCTCCTCCATGTTCAATAAAGCTGTCTTTGTAATGAGCGATGTGTCTGTCTGTGGTGAAAGAATAGATCGATCATTCTTGGATGACTGTGACTTCAGTCTGTAGTTCATTATCTTATCACCAGAGAGACTACTTTGATTTTCATTTTGATTGATCGTTTTGTAAATCCATTTTTTTTCTCCACATTGTGGCATTTTGATGACCAAACAAATTGGTGCGTAATAGTGATGGTTTTGTGTGCTGTGCATATTTGATTGAGGCTATTTGCATGGTTGATTTAGCCTGGGGACTGAGAGAGTGACACACACTGTAAAGACCTAGATTCACTGGGTTGACTAGATAGAGACAACCGTACAAATGGCTTTGTAGACATCCATGTGATATAAAAGTGAACAATGTAAGCACTGTTTTAAAAAGCAAGGATCAATTCAACTGAGCTTACTTTCTCTCGTTCACTTTGCAAACCTAACAAAGGATGACAGATAGGAGCCTGTAACTCCACACCATTAGCTAACTCATTTACAAAGCAACAATGATGTAGCCTTGAGCTCTGTCTTCTGTGTAGGCAAGTCTCTTTCTCTCTGTGGGTGTGGGTGGGTGGGTGGGTGTGTAAGTCTCTTTCTCTTTGTGGGTGTGGGTGGGTCGGTGTGTGGGTGGGTGGGTGGGTGGGTGTGTAAGTCTCTTTCTCTCTGTGGGTGTGTGTGCCTGTTTGTGTGTGTGGCCCTTTCCTCCTCTGTTTTCACACTGCAGGGAGCACAAAACTGCAGCATCTGTCTGCATTCATCGTACATTGTCATGTGGGCCCACAGAAACTGCTGTTGCTTTATAAAAATAGCTTCAGCTGAATCTCTGCAAAAATAAGCTTAATCTGAATTCCAAAGTTGAGGAATTAGGAACAACTTCCTAACACAGTTATGCTATATTCAGACTTAATAGCTATCGTAAGCAGGCTCATCAACTAACATCAGTTCTTTGCAAATCATCAACAGTGGCACTTCATGCAACCTAATACTCTGTAACTTGTTCATCAATATTTATTTTGCCCATTTAGCTATCACTGTGTCTCACTTTACTACGTTTAATGTAAGGCTAACAATATTCTCTTTGTCTGTGTTTTCCTATGAGCGAGCACGGCTATTACCGTTTACTGTTGGTTATTATTTTACTCACACCAGTTGATAATTAAGATTGTGAAAATGCCTTGCTTCTGCCAAGTCTAATTAATCACACACCCTAGTGTATCTTACTCACACATCAACATTTTCAGTTTGCATCTGAACTCTGGCTGAACTCAACTGTTGTTGTTACAGTCACTCCCTGTGTTGCTGCATTGCTGTGTACAGTACCTGTACTGTTGGGGTGGTGATGGGCACTTTGTTGCCACAGACCATGTGATCCATAAAGGTTATGGCCTCTGATAAAAGATAGTGTGTTTATGCAGTTATTACATTTACATTTTAGTCATTTAGCAGACGCTCTTATCCAGAGCGACTTATAGGAGCAATTAGGGTTAAGTGCCTTGCTCAGGGGCACATCGGCAGATATTTCACCTAGTCAGCTCGGGGATTCAAACCAGCGACCTTTCAGTTACTGGTCCAACGCACTCACAGTAGGCCTGTAATAGATAGATGGAAAAGGAAGTGAGTTCAATACTTTGTGTGTTTGTTTCTGGGTCTGCGTCTCAAATGACACCCAATTCCCTATATAGTGCACTACTTTTGAGGCACAATATGGGGAACAGTGATGTAATTGGAGATTTGCGTTGGAGATAACACATAGATCCAGATTTCAGCAAGGGAATATTTCAAATCCAAGTAAGAGAGCAGTGTCAACAGAGCCTGTGAAATAGAACCACAATCTCCAGTGAAACAGTCCCATCTTGTTCTGACATGGGCACTCTGCTGAGGGTCTCATAATGGTTCCAGTGTAATTAAGCAATTTAAATGAACTAGGGGACATTAAAAGACAAGGACTTTCTAGTAGAGAATGTTTAGGCCAGGTTGTTAATAGACCTGAAGCAGAGTTAGAAAAGGTGGCAAGAAGATCCCTCTTCAAGTCTCTTTCTCTCTTGTCACTTAGATGGTTATATGTTCAGATTATCGCTCTCCCTCTCCATCTCCATCTCTCTCTCCATCTGATCTATGCCCTGTGCTCGTGATTTGGACTCTGTGCGCAGTAGCAGCAGCAACACATCTATATTCCTGCCATTTTAAAATGCCCAGATCCCTGCAGCAGTTATACAGTGAAGAAAGCCCTACAGTTTTATAGATGATCTGTTGCCATAGCTACCGTAGCAGAGGAACTAAGCGCTCATTTCCCACAAACAGAACAGAACAAGTGCTCTGGCCCCTCCCTTCTCCCCTCTGTTCCCACCGCTCATTGGGTCCCCTGACTGGGTCATTAGCATAATGACTCACACGGAACTCTCCTCCAAGGGCCACCATTTGTGGGTTTTGGAATCGTCAATGGAGCCCTGTCATCGCCAAACAAGTTTGTCTTGTACTGAGGTCTGTTGACATTACATCTCTGTTCTGCTGTTAAGTTACTCCGCTACTCGACTGACGTACCATTAAGAGGTATTAAAGGTAGAACACTATAGTAAGGGTCCCCTGAAGATGACTCTAACGCATCCTTAATCATCTTCTCTGAGTCACAGTATTTGATTCAGCCAGCACTCCTCTGCATACTTTAAAGGGCATTGGTTGAATTTATGCTGCGGCGAAAACACACAGAGAGCACACAGTTCAGTTCAGCATGGAAGATTTGTGCAAATGCAAAGATATGATGAAGGAGCAGTTACCCCTACTACTTAGCAGCAGAACGTGTGCTGTGTGTAGGGTCTTTATTTGGAGACTTAACTTAACATTGCATTAAAATCAGGACTGCTTAAGAATTAATTGCCTATTAAAATGGCTACACACTTCAGGGAGGGGAGCCTGTTTGCAGTTGGTTGAGCTGGGGCTCCTTTGCAAGGCCTTGTTTAGATGTCTGCAGGAAACAGCTTATTAAAAAGCTGTGATAACCGCTCGGCGACAAACCAAAACACATGCTGTGTGAAAACATGACTGATGGGGAGGGATGCACCTTGTGGAAAGTAACACAAGGATAAAGCCAAGGACAGAGTATCTCATCCTTAGGCTGGGTATCTGACTGTTTCTGTATACGGGAAAGGTATGTAATGATGAGCCGAGCTTTGAGAGTCTTTGAGTAATCTCTATTCACTGAACAAACAGTTGATCATAAACAAACAAACACATTGGCTAAAGCAGAAACAGACATAACTTCATGAACTTCATTGTTTACCCTTTTCTTTCTCCTCTCAGTGATCTGTAACTTCCGGGGCTCAGTATGTCAGGCCCTGGTTCTGGAGATCGGAGAGACTGTGCAGATCCTGGAGAAGAGTGAAGGTAAGAACTGCTGAATAACAGTTTATAGAGAATAATAGAGGATAACATTGTATAATATACTCACTTTACCTTAATCTAAAAAAGCACATTGTGGTTTGTGCGTGTGTGTGTATTGGGTTAATAGTCATAGTCCCTGTTCAGCTGGTTGATATGCATCTTTGATGTCTCTTTAGGCTGGTACAGAGGGTTTTCCACCAAGAAGCCTTCAATCAAGGTAAACATGTCAGACTTTTCTTTTAGAATCACACTTTACATTCACTGCTTGTATTGTCATTATTATTGAGAATGGTCCTGTTAGACCAGACCGCTATCAGCCACTGTTTGTTTGAAGCTATTTATTTACAGCAAAGTGATTCCTAATGCAAACCTCAACCTCAGCACGACAACACGAAAAAAAAAAGCATTTGTGGGTACTGCAATTAGTATGTGTTGTTAGGTGCAATCTGTGCTGCAGAGAATACAATACACACTTTGGATTTCTGGAGGCGTTGTATTGGACGAGTAGCGGTACATATACAATAAGAGTTACACCATTTTCTTTTATCAGTTCACCTTCCACACCCACACATACTATTTACCACAGATGATCCATCAGTGTTTTACCGCTCACACAAAGAGGCCTACAATGTGGCACTGTGTTTAATGTACGCTATTCATCTTGCTTCCAATGAGATGAGTGCAATGGGAGAATACGTTGGAGCTTGCATCTAAGATAAAAGCGTGAAGCCATTTGTGTTCAGCTGGGGGATGAGAGAGGGGAGAGAGAGGAGGATGTGGTCCAAACCATCAGGCATCTCCTGCCAGTACATTCCCTCCAGAGAGCCGGCTCAGGCTGCTGTTCTCACATGCAGCTCCATGTAAACTGGCAAACCTCTCCTCCAGGTAGAGCTCCATTAACACAAGGCCTAGAAAGGTACAGTAAGAAAACAAGGTATCCTAGCTTTTATACTGTCCCAAGATGCACAGAAATACAACAATACCTCAAAAAACGACAAACGGGGTTTATTTTTTATTTTGATTCGATTACTAAGTGTCTCTTCAGCCAGGCTGACCAAGTCTGACGAGGACCCTTACGTTACTTTTGAAATCAAAGAACATTCAAACAGTGTGCAAGTATTAATCTTCTTTTTTCTATGGTATTATTAGTAACTGCCTGCACCTGTGGAATTTTGTTGGATGTGTACGTACACTATGTTTGAACTAAATAGATACAGTACCTCCAAGCAATGCTCCACCATGGCTGCTGCCATCGATATGTTCTGCACGGCAGTACATGGCTATTATATATTACTGACACATCCACTTCCGATCCAATTGATTGTTCAGTAAACCATGTTTATAACTGTACCTGTTTCTCCGGCTTCCATGTTACAAATCAAAATGTCAGACACATGATACCAGTCACTCAGTCAGTATCTTTTTATTTTTTTTACCCCCCCCCCGTCCTCCAAAACATGACCCGCCAAACTGCGCTTCTTAACAGCCAGCCAGACCAATGTGTCGGAGGAAACACCATTCACCTGACCACCGAGATCAGCCTGCAGGCACCCAGCCCGCCACAAGGAGCCAAGTAAAGCCCCCCCGGCCAAACCCTCCCTTAATCCGGACGACGCTGTGCCAAATGTGCGCAGCCCTATGGGACTCCCGATCACAGCCGGTTGTGATACAGCCCGGGATCGAACCCGGGTCTGTATTGACGCCTCTAGCACTGCGATGCAGTGCCTTAGACCGCTGCGCCACTCGGGAGGCCCTGCTCAGTCAGTATCTTTAATAAGCTGCGAAACCAGTGAAGAACCTGTGATACCTTAGCCTGGCCCTGGTCCCAGATCTGTATGTGGTTTACTCCTCTTCAATGTCATGACAGTGATAGACAATACCTCTGTTGTGTCATCATTCTTTTGAGTCGTCCTGAAATCAAAGCTCAGTAAGTCAGATAACATACTGTTCCAGAAAGACACACTAATACTCCTCAGAATCCTGGCAGATAGCTAGAGGTCTTATGGGATGTTAAAGCCCGTCCTGCTCTCACTACTCTCATCAGCTAGTTACAGTCCCCCACCAACACACCTCCATTTTGTTATGTACTCTTCCTCCCACGCTCCCTCCCTCGTCCTCATACTCTTCCTGAGCCGCCACAATCAGCTGTGCTCACTGTGCCCAATTCATCACATCTGGCAGATTAGAGCCAGAGAGAGGAACTGCAAGGGTGGCAGTTGGCACTGTTCTGTGTCTCATGCCCTCCCCAGCTAAGCGACAATTTGGGCTGAGCTGCTTCATATTCAGCTTGTGTGTGTGTGTGTGTGTGTGTTGTGTGTCAGAGAGAGTAGAATTAAAATAGCCACAATCTAAGAGTAGCTTGTTGCTACAGTAGTTTTTCTCTGTTAAGAACAACTGCTCCACATTACTGTTGACCAATGCATATCATGTACAACACAGGGACACACACATGCAACATGTGGGACATACTGTTTACATGCATGTACACCACAGAACTATGGTCTTCAGTTGCAGCACCTTGCTACATTCTTTTTAACACTTCTGCCCTTTCCATCCATCAGGGTATATTCCCAACTAGCTATGTCCACCTGAAGAAATCCACAGTCACCAACAGAGGGTGAGTCTCTTTCTGTTAAATCATATGAGCCCTGTTTGTCAGAGATACATTCAGCTCCGAAATTATTGGCACCCTTGATAATGATGAGCAAAAAAGACTATATAAAGTTAATAATACAAATACTGAGCTATATTGTATGCTGAAAAATATGGGGAAATTATATTATTTTACTGATACAATTGCTCAGAGAAATATATTTAGTTAAATCTAAAAAAGATAGGGGTCAAATGTATTGGCACCCCTCTGTTCAATACTCCAGCACCCTCCCCTTGCGAGGATAACGACACTGAGCCTTTTTCTAAAATGTTTTATGAGATTGGAGAACACATTGGGAGGGATCTTAGACCATTCCTCCATACAGAATCTTTCCAGATCCTTGATATCCTTCATCTGAGGTTATGGACTGCCCTCTTAAATTCAAACCACAGGTTTTCAATAGGGTTCAAGTCTGGAGACCAAAATGTTGATTTTGTGGTCAATTAACAATTTATTTGTGAATTTTGATGTGTGCTTGGGGTTATTATTGTCTTAAAAACCATTTTTCTCTGAGCAATTGTATTATTATAAAATAATATAATTTCCCCATTTGTTTTTGCATTTAATATAGCTCAGTATTTGTATTATTTATTTTATACAGTATTTTTTGCTCATCTTTATCAAGAGTGCCAATCATTTCAGATATAAGGTGCAGGATCACTGGTTAATGGAAGCCAAAGGAAGCTATATATTTTCCACAACATACTGTAGAGCTGCCATTGGGTCAGATTTATTCATCAACAATGGGGTGGTGTGTGCATGTCCCGCCCATTTCCGTTGCCTCATTTCCCTCATCACTGATCTGTGAGGATCTGTACTTAAACGGCATTAGTTCTGCTCTGCCAGTGAAGCAAACACACACATGCAAACACACACAAAAACACACACACACACACACAACACCAGTGGTCATCCGAGCTGTGCTGCTGTTCAAGGCACAAAAGCTGTTCATGGCAGTGGAAGCAGAGAGAGGGCAGTGCAAAGACAAAGGGAGGCAGGAAAGCTCTTTATCAACCAGTGTTGATGGAGATTAGATCTGCAGGCAGGGATCAGTGACACAGTGTGGACTGGGAGGATACTTCATAGTGTTATATCACCACCCTACAGTGCACTTTTAGCACACAGTCAGAGAGCTCTCTTTTGCTTTTAAAACAATTAATGGTGCAGACTTGGAAATTGTCATTATTACACTTCCCCGCTCAAAGGGTTGCACTTGGGAAATGTGCTTTGCAGTTCAGTGTGGTTAATGATGTGAAAACACCTACAGTTTCTCCTCAGTTCTCCCAGTGCATCAGAGCTATAGAGGATCATTCTGACAGTTATGTAATGGATGGACTGTCTTATGTTTTTAACTAGACACGTTTCTCCTGCTGAAGGCCTTTCTCTTGTCTTTCATTTAGTCTCATGGTTGGCACTGAAATATAAATGATGTCTGTTGTGGTTTTGCTCTAGTGATCCTTTATAATCCTAATTTCACAAAGTGAAAACTCATTACTGTGTAATGTTTCATTTTTTTTGTCATGAAAGAGTTATTATGTCATTACAGTGCCAACACAGGGCAGGGATGTAAATGTGTGTGTGTGTTTGGCGTTGGTTTGTTCATTTGTGTGTTCTTTTTTTCTTTCTCTATTTGTACTGTAGGCAGATATGTCTGTCTCTATCTAATCTTTAGGTTTCTGAGTGTCTGACTCTGTTTCAATAACTGTGTGTGTGTCTCACCCTAGGCTGTGTGAGATGGTGGTACCTCTGGAAGACCCTATTATCACTGAGACCACCTCCACCCTGCAGGAATGGGGCGTGTTGTGGAAGCAACTCTACGTGGTCAGTACCACCTCACCTCTCACGGGGAAACCTCTGTCTAGCTTAGAGAAAACACTGAGTCCATTTAAATGCAACGTACAGGGTGGTTGATCTGAAAGGGAAAGCGAAAAAGGATCTGCACCCACCCCTGCTTTACATACTTAGCTCCAAAGATTTGATAAGATACAGATTTGTACCTGCAGTATGCAGTTTTCATGCAGTTTTCACCTCATTCAATAGCTGAAAAAGACTGGGGGAAAGCAACAACTATTGGGGTTGAACACACTGTATATACAGCCGCTTCCCATGAATCCCCATAGCGTGCCATTTAGGCTGTCACTCCACTCTTCATCATTATATCCTGCCTATGTAAATCCCAAAATAGTAATTGGCAATAAATAATGGCGTAGTAGATAGCTGTCATAGGCAATATCACGGAATGTCACTCTGCCATTACCTTACTACTTTGCCTATCCCGGTCCCAGATCTCTACGTGCTGTAGCCAACTCTTCTATCGTTGGCATGCCATTCATGACAATGATAGTCAGAGGAGATAGCTAAAGAACACAGGCTAATGTTTATGTTATGGCCTATCATAGAGTCATCTTAAAACTCAACAGAGTATTGTACGTTCAGCCAGCATTGTCATCATCACCCTCCCACTGTATAAATGTTTATGGAGACCTAAATAAACCCTAATCCTGCTAATTGTGGAGGGGTCAGGAACCAGGAGGATGTACGTAGCTGAGGTTTGAGCTGAGCAGAGGGAGGGAGATTTTGTTGAGCTGGGATGGAAGCGAGTTTTTACGTAACTTATCAACGAGCACTGCTCATGCTCAGAGCAGCCAAGGAGCCTGGGGCAGGACTGTGGTGATGTAACTTCCTGTCAAACACAACTAAATTGAACCACTGATTTAACGCTGCTCATTTCGGGCACTCACTCTGCCCCCCTGTGTGGTAGCCAGTGTAGCCAGTCACCATGGTTACCGTCCATAAAAACAGGATGTATCATTGGCTTAATCAGGGGTGTCAAACTCAGTCCGTAGGGCTGCACTGAAAATTGGTTATATTTCCTCTATATATATATATATTTTTTTTTTCAATAGTCCTCTATCCAATTTTTATGCTCCTTGACTTTCTAGCTTTCATTTCGGTGATTATTAGTGAGCTGGACACAGTGAAGAAACTGTATGAATGTAGGCAATTATAATTTCTACACAGTTTCGATTTGATTTTAGTCATTTGCAAGTATATATATTTTGGGAATATTATTATTATATATATTTTTTACTCAAACCACCCACGGGCCGGATTGGACCCCCCTCGCGGTCGGATCTGGCCCCTGCGCCGTATGTTTGACACCCCTGGGCTAGATATTTACACGTTTTTCCTTGAATGCTTTGCGCTCAAGGCATATTGCAATTAGAATGCATCGTGGTACCTCAGGGAGCGATGGCCTGAGAATTAGTGTATCTGTTGTAATGTACATAATTAGGCCTCACAGAACAGCCGTCCGAGAGGCCTCATCAGCTCTGACTAAAATCTTTGTTTTACAGCCACCAGCAGGTTGAGAACATGGAATGTTTACCCTCATTAAATTTACATGAACATTGTAGATGCGCTTAATCTTTACACTTATATAAACAAACCTGGGAGGTAGTGTGGGCTTGTCAGTCCGATGGGAGGAATAATAAACGCTTGAATTAAAAGTGCTGTCCTTGGTCATGGAGAAAAGCTAGTTTCCACAAAGCTGTTGTTGATGAAACCCTGTAAGGACTCTGAGTAGGACATATATTTTTATTTTTATAATTAATTGTGCTGGTACTTTAGCTCAATCAGTGGAACACTTGTTCTAACTTTGTAGCCTCCAGTAGAAAATGAAGATGCTTGTTGGTTGTTTGATAACAGAGAAACAGGTTTCACTGAACGTCTATTTTCCTTTATAGCTGCATAATTCCTGCATAATGATTTAATGACACAGCCATGTTAGTGTGTTTCATTAACACTCATTACAGTTTCATAACCCTGACCTTCTACTGTCAGGAGGAACACATGCAATCGAACAGCAGCTAGTTGCTTAGCTGTGTGTTTCATAATGAAAGTATATTTAAAACCATGGATGGAATCATGAGGGTGCCTGGAGCTGGAGTTGCTTTGTTCTTCCATAGCAGACCAGGGAAATCTCATAAGAATAGAGATACTAACATGGAAACGTCAGAGTCCAGACCAATATAGACATACTGTATTGTGGGAATGTCCAAGAGTCAATGTGTAATGAACCATGTATTGTTACATTCATGTTTTGATCATATTGTTGTGTGTGTGATCCCCACAGAAGCACAAGGTGGACCTGTTCCACAAGCTGCGTCATGTGATGAATGAGCTCATCGACCTGCGCCGGCAGCTCATCCAGGGTCACCTGGCCCAGGACCAGACCAGAGAGATCAAACGCCACATAACCGTGCGCCTGGACTGGGGCAATGAGTGAGTTACTGTACTGTAGTGCATGGGCCAGGAACCATATCAAGTTTGTTTGTGTGTGTGTGTGTTTCTGTGTGCATTTGTAATACTGTATCATGTTACAGTACATAATAATGTAGATGTAATGTAATGACAAGGTCATTTAGCAGATTTGTTTATCCAAAGCAATTCCTAGATAATGTAATACTTATCAGAGTACTTATGCAGTACTCTATACAGTGGGTATCTGTTCCTAGGACCACTTTAAGCTGTACACTCCACAGAGCTGGGCTTTATGGAAGAGTGCCAGAAAAAAGCCATTGCTTAATGAAAGAAATAAGCAAACACGTTTGATGTTCGCCAAAAGGCATGTGGGAGACTCCCCAAACATATGGAAGAAGGTACTTGTGTCAGATGACACTTTAATTTAGCTTTTTGGCCATCAAGGAAAACGTTATGTCTGGCGCAAACCCAACACCTCTCATCACCCCGAGAACACCATCCCCACAGTGAAGCATGGTGGTGGCAGCATCATGCTGTGGGGATGTGTTTCATCCCAGGGACCAGGGACTGGGAAACTGGTCAGAATTGAAGGAATGATGGATGGCGCTAAATACAGGGAAATTCTTGAGGGAAACCTGTTTCAGTCTTCCAGAGATTTGAGACTGGGATGGAAGTTCACCTTCCAGCAGGACAATGACCCTAAGTATACTGCTAAAGCAACACTCGAGTGGTTTAAGGGGAAACATGTAAATATCTTGGAAAGGCCTAGTCAAAGGGGTGAAAAGTTATGCACGCTCAAGTGTTCTATTTTTTTGTCTTATTTCTTGTTTGTTTCATGAGAAAAAGTATTTTCCATCTTCAAAGTGGTAGGCATGTTGTGTAAATCAAATGATACAACCCCCCAAAAAATCCATTTTAATTCCAGGTTGTAAGGCAACAAAATAGGAAAAATGCCAAGGGGGATGAATACTTTCGCAAGCAACTGTATCTCCAGGCCAGTAGGCAGTTAAACAATCACCACTAGCCTTAGTCACTGTTCTAGCCAGCTACCACCAGGTACTCTAGCCTGCACCTTAGAGACTGCTGCCCTACAGTGAGGGAAAAAATTATTTGATCCCCTGCTGATTTTGTACGTTTGCCCACTTACAAAGAAATGATCAGTCTATAATTTTAATAGTAGGTTTATTTGAACAGTGAGAGACAGAATAACAAAAAAATAAGTATAAGTATTTGACCCCCTCTCAATCAGAAAGATTTCTGGCTCCCAGGTGTCTTTTATACAGGTAACAAGCTGAGATTAGGAGCACACTCTAAAAGGGAGTGCTCCTAATCTCAGTTTGTTACCTGTATAAAAGACACCTGTCCACAGAAGCAATCAATCAATCAGATTCCAAACTCTCCACCATGGCCAAGACCAAAGAGCTCTCCAAGCATGTCAGGGACAAGATTGTAGACCTACACAAGGCTGGAATGGGCTACAAGACCATCGCCAAGCAGCTTGGTGAGAAGGTGACAACAGTTGGTGCGATTATTCGCAAATGGAAGAAACACAAAAGCACTGTCAATCTCCCTCGGCCTGGGGCTCCATGCAAGATCTCACCTCGTGGAGTTGCAATGATCATGAGAACGGTGAGGAATCAGCCCAGAACTACACGGGAGGATCTTGTCAATGATCTCAAAGCAGCTGGGACCATAGTCACCAAGAAAACAATTGGTAACACACTACGCCGTGAAGGACTGAAATCCTGCAGAGCACGCAAGGTCCCCCTGCTCAAGAAAGCACATATACAGGCCCGTCTGAAGTTTGCCAATGAACATCTGAATGATTAAGAGGAGAACTGGGTGAAAGTGTTGTGGTCAGATGAGACCAAAATGGAGCTCTTTGGCATCAACTCAACTCGCCGTGTTTGGAGGAGGAGGAATGCTGCCTATTACCCCAAGAACACCATCCCCACTGTCAAACATGGAGGTGGAAACATTATGCTTTGGGGGTGTTTTTCTGCTAAGGGGACAGGACAACTTCACCGCATCAAAGGGACGATGGATGGGGCCATGTACTGTAAAATCTTGGGTGAGAACCTCCTTCCCTCAGCCAGGGCATTGAAAATGGGTAGTGGATGGGTATTCCAGCATGACAATGACCCAAAACACACAGCCAAGGCAACAAAGGAGAGGCTCAAGAAGAGGCACATTAAGGTCCTGGAGTGGCCTAGCCAGTCTCCAGACCTTAATCCCAAAGAAAATCTGTGGAGGGAGCTGAAGGTTTGAGTTGCCAAACGTCAGCCTCGAAACCTTAATGACTTGGAGAAGATCTGCAAAGAGGAGTGGGACAAAATCCCTCCTGAGATGTGTGCAAACCTGGTGGCCAACTACAAGAAACGTCTGACCTCTGTGATTGCCAACAAGGGTTTTGCCACCAAGTACTAAGTCATGTTTTGCAGAGGGGTCAAATACTGATTTCCCTCATTAAAATGCAAATCAATTTATAACATTTTTGACATGCATTTTTCTGGATTTTGTTGTTGTTATTCTCTCTCTCACTTTTCAAATAAACCTAGCATAAAAATATAGACTGATCATGTCTTTGTCAGTGGGCAAACGTACTAAATCAGCAGGGGATCAAATACTTTTTTCCCTCACTGTATCTACATAGAGTCATTGAACGCTGGTCACTTTAATAATGTTTACATCCTGATTTACCCACTTTATATGTATATACTGTATTCTAGTCATTGAACACTGGTCACTTTAATCATGTTTACATACAAAAAACACACTATTATACAGTACCAGTCAAAAGTTTGGACACACCTACTCATTCAAGGGTTTTTCTTTATTTTTACTATTTTCTACATTGTAGGATAATAGTGAAGACATCAAAACTATGAAATAACTAATGGGATCAGGTAGCAACCCAAAAAGTGTTAAACAAATCAAAATATATTTTATATTTGAGATTCTTCAAATAGCCACCCTTTGCCTTGACAGCTTTGCACACTCTTGGCATTCTCTCAACCAGCTTCACCTGGAATGCTTTTCCAACAGTCTTGAAGGAGTTCCCACATATGCTGAGCGCTTGTTGGCTGCTTTTCCTTCACTCTGCGGTCCGACTCATCTCAAACCATCTCAATTGGGTTGAGGTCGGGTGATTGTGGAGGCCAGGTCATCTGATGCAGCACTCCATCACTCTCCTTCTTGGTAAAATATCCCTTACACAGCCTGGAGGTGTGTTGGGTCATTGTCCTATTGAATAACAAATGATAGTCCCACTAAGCCCAAACCAAATGGGATGGTGTATCGCTGCAGAATGCTGTGGTAGCCATGCTGGTTAAGTGTGCCTTGAATTCTAAATAAATCACAGACAGTGTCACAAGCAAAGCACCCCCACACCATAACACCTCCTCCTCCATGCTTTACGTTGGGAACTACACATGCGGAGATCATCCATTCACACACACCGCTTCTCACAGAGACACGGCGGTTGGAACCAAAAATCTCCAATTTGAACTTCAGACCAAAGGACACATGTCCATTGCTCGTGTTTCTTGGCCCAATGAGGTCTCTTCTTCTTATTGGTGTCCTTTAATAGTGGTTTCTTTGCAGCAATTCGACCATGAAGGCCTGATTCACACAGTCCCCTCTGAACAGTTGATGTTGAGATGCGTCTGTGCCTTGAACTCTGTGAAACATGGTCCTCTGTAGCTCAGCTGGTAGAGCACGGCGCTTGTAACGCCAAGGTAGTGGGTTCGATCCCCGGGACCACCCATACACAAAAATGTATGCACGCATGACTGTAAGTCGCTTTGGATAAAAGCGTCTGCTAAATGGCATATTATTATTATTATTATTATTATTTATTTGGGCTGCAATTTCTGAGGCTTGTAACTCTAATGAACTCATCCTCTGCAGCAGAGATAACTCTGGGTCTTCCTTTCCTTTGGCGGTCCTCATGAGAGCCAGTTTCATCATCGTTCTTGATGGTTTTTGCGACTGCACTTGAAGAAACGTTCAAAGTTCTTGAAATGTTCCGTATTGACTGACCTTCATGTCTTAAAGTAATGATGGACTGTCGTTTCTCTTTGCTTATTTGAGCTGTTCTTGCCATAATATGGAATTGGTCTTTTACCAAATAGGGCTATCAGTTCAGAAAGACGACTGTATCTTTGATGTGTCTGGGTGGTTTTAATACATAATCAACAGCATAATTATTAACTTGACCATGCTTAAAGAGATATTCAATATCTGATTTGTTATTGTTACCCATCTACCAATCACTGCCCTTCTTTATTACCTGCTTTCTTTCTTTCTTTTTACCTTTCTTCTTACCTTCTTTATGAGGGTTTCGAAAAGCTCCATGGTAGTTCGATTTGCGCTTGAAATTCAATACTTGACTGAGGGACCTTACATATGTTATATGTATGGGGGACAGAAGAAGGGGTAGTAATTTACAAATCATGTCAACCCCTATTATTTCACACATAGTGAGTCCATGTAACTTATTATTTGATTTGTTAAGCCACATTTTACTCCTGACCTAATTTAGGCTTGCCTAAAGGAAGTAGGCACTTAATACATATGCAACGACTATATTTTAGTTTTTGAATTGTTAATAATTTGTAAAAATGTGTAGAATTGTATTTTCATTTTGTCATTATGGACTATTTTGTGTAGATCAATGACAAAAAAAAATCACAATTAAATCTATTACAATCCAACTTTGTAATGCAACAAAAAAAGGTGGGTGAATACTTATGATACCCACTGTAGTTGGCCCTAAGGGGAAGGAAATGGATCCCAGCTCATTGATGTTGCCAGCACCATGCTCCATACTCCAGTAGCCACCCATAGAGAGAGCTCTAAGGGGCTCCGTCCTCATTATCAAAGGAAGAGCTTTAGGTGAAAAGGCCATCTGTTGGATCAACTTGGACTTTTCCCCTAGTCTTAGTGAAATGAATTTAGGTCGACTTTAGCGGACATCGTGCTTAGGCTTGAATTCAATCTTTACAGATAAGAAAACCTGTAGAAAACCTTTTTATGTGAATGAGTGAGGTAAAGGCTATTTTCTTCACAAGCTGACGTGGAGTAACCTGTGGTTGTGTGATCTGACCAGAACACTCCACGTGTTTTCGTCACTCCAGCTCTCCAGGATGGTGCTAGGGTGGCTGAGTGTGATAGTGTTATGACGCACACGTAAATGTGAGCATCCGCCTGTCAGATCCTATTCCGGGGAATTGGCTGTGAAGGGTACACAATACCTAGATTTTAGTTTAGTAGTGGGTGGTGGTTTCAGCACCATCTAGAATGTAATGTTAAACATACATCTTTAATAAATTCCATACAACATAAAAACAAACACTGTGGAAAGGTGTATGAATGTTAATGAGTTGCCAATGAGTTAATTAAATCAAATACAATTTTATTTGTCACATGCTTTGTTAACAGCAGGTAGACTAACAGTGAAATATTTACGGGTCCTTTTCCAACAATGCAGAGTTAACGATAAAGATAAAACAAACAAACAAACAAAAAACATTTGAAATAGTGACACGAGGACTAAATACACAGTGAATAATGAAAAGCAATAACAAGTAAAAATAATAATTGCTTGCCAAAAATTTATTTTTTCTACTTCCGGTCGTTGTTATATAGGTAACAATCCTTCGAAGGAAGTGCCTGCATTATTACACATATTATTCGTCAATTGTGGGAATTAATTAAGATATGGAAGATTTTAAAATATATATGTACACTACCATTCAAAAGTTTGGGGTCACTTAGAAATTGACAATTTTTTTGTCCATTAAAATAACATCAAATTGATCATAAATACAGTGTAGACATTGTTAATGTTGTAAATGGCTATTGTAGCTGGAAACGGCTGATTTTTTATGGAATATCTACATAGGCGTACAGAGGCTCATTTTCAGCAACCATCAGTCCTGTGTTCCAATGGCACGTTGTATTTGCTAATCCAAGTTTATCATTTAAAAAGGCTAATTGATCATTAGAAAACCCTTTTACAATTATGTTAGCACAGCTGAAACTGTTGGGCTGATTAAAGAAGCAATAAAACTGGCCTTCTTGAGACTAGTTGTGTATCTGGAGCATCAGCAATTGTGGGTTCGATTATAGGCTCAAAATGGCCAGAAACAAATAACTTTCTTCTGAAACTCATCAGTTTATCCTTGTTCTGACAAATGAAGGCTATTCCATGCGAGAAATTGCCAAGAAACTGAAGATCTCATACAACGCTGTGTACTACTCCCTTCACAGAACATCGCAAACTGGCTCTAACCAGAATAGAAAGAGAAGTGGGAGGCCCCGGTGCACAACTGAGCAAGAGGACAAATACATTAGTTTGAGAAACAGACGCCTCACAGGTCCTCAACTGGCAGCTTCATTAAATAGTACCCGCAAAACACCAGTCTCAATGTCAACAGTGAAGAGGTGACTCCGGGATACTGACCTTCTAGGCAGAGTTGCAAAGAAAAAGCCATATCTCAGACTGCCCATCTTAATCTTTTATTTTTATTGGCCAGTCTGAGATATGGCTTTTTCTTTGAGACCAATTCCATATTATGGCAAGAACAGCTCAAATAAGCAAAGAGAAGCGACAGTCCATCATTACTTTAAGACATGAAGGTCAGTCAATACGGAACATTTCAAGAACTTTGAACGTTTCTTCAAGTGCAGTCGCAAAAACCATCAAGCGCTATGATGAAACTGGCTCTAATGAGGACCACCACAGGAATGGAAGACCCAGAGTTTCCTCTGCTGCAGAGGATAAGTTCATTAGAGTTACCAGCCTCAGAAATTGCTGCTCAAATAAATGCTTCACAGAGTTCAAGGCACAGACACATCTCAACATCAACTGTTCAGAGGAGATTGTGTGAATCAGGCCTGCCAAGAAACCCCTACTAAAGGACACCAGTAAGAAGAAGAGACTTGCTTGGGCCAAGAAACACGAGCGATGGACATTGGACCGGTGGACCTTTGGTCTAGAGTCCATATTGGAGATTCTTGGTTCCAACCGCCGTGTCTTTGTGAGACGCGGTGTGGGTGAACGGATGAGGTGTAGTTCCCACCGTAAAGCATGGAAGAGGAGGTGTTATGGTGTGGGGGTACTTTGCTGGTGACACTGTCTGTGATTTATTTAGAATTCAAGGCACACATAACCAGCATGGCTACCACAGCATTCTGCAGCGATACGCCATCCCATCTGGTTTGGGCTTAGTGGGACTATCATTTGTCTTTCAACAGGACAATGACCCAACACACCTCCAGGCTGTGTAAGGGCTATTTTACCATGAAGGAGCGTGATGGAGTGCTGCATCAGATGACCTGGACTCCACAGTCCCCCTACCTCAACCAAATTGATATGGTTTGGGATGAGTCAGACCGCAGAGTGAAGGAAAAGCAGCCAACAAGTGCTCAGCATATGTGGGAACTCCTTCAAGACTGTTGGAAAAGCATTCCAGGTGAAGCTGGTTGAGAGAATGCCAAGAGTGTGCAAAGCTGTCATCAAGGCAAAGGGTGGCTATTTGAAGAATCTCAAATATAAAACACTTTTTTGTTATTACATGATTCCATATGTGTTATTTCATAGTTCTGATGTCTTCACTAATATTCTACAGTGTAGAAAATAGTAAAAATAAAGAAAAACCCTTGAATGAGTAGGTGTTCTAAAACTTTTGACCAGTAGTGTATATACAACCTTTTTTTCCGTTATTAGCATGTTGTAACCACTCCTATAAAAATGGTAGACTATCAGATACTCAGCAAGAAGCTCTGATTTCACTATTACTGAAACAGGACCCAGGTGGTAAATATAAAGATCCAGTCCACCAGCAAAATGCATAGCGCATAGAATAAAAAAGTTATTGTCGGATATTATTCATCCTAATCAGACAGGTTTTTTACATCAACGATACATTGGAGATAATTTAAGACAAGTACTGGAAACAATAGAACACTGAAAAATCTGTGAAACCAGGCCTGGTATTCATAGCTGATTTTGAAAAGGCCTTTGATAAAGTATGACTGCAATTTATATATAAATACTTGGACTATTTTAATTTTAGAGAGTCTCTTATACAATGGGTCAAAGTTACGTATAGTAACCCCAGGTGGAAAATTGTAAATAATGGCTACTTCTCACTAATTATTAAATTGTAAAGAGGAGTAAAACAAGGTTGACCACTATCAGCATATCTATTTATTATGGCCATCAAAATGTTAGCTATTAAAATCAGATCCAACAATAATATCAAGTGGCTAGAAATCCAGGGCTTAAAAATAAAGGTGTCATTGTAAACTGACGACTCATGTTTCTTTTAAATCCGCAATTTGGATCCCTGCACAGCCTCATAGAGGATCTAGATCATTTTTCTAACCTCTCTGAATTACAACCGAACTATGATAAGTGTACCATATTATGTATTGGATCGCAACAAAACACAACTTTTACATTACCATGTAGTTTACCAATAAATTGGTCTGACGGTGAAGTGTACATACTTGTTATTCATATCCCGAAAGATAGAAATTATCTTGCTACACTACATTTTAATAGAAAGTTAGCAAAAATAGATACGATTTTGCTACCATGGAAAGGAAAATACCTGTCTATTTGTGGAAAAATCACCCTCATTAATTATTTAGTCATGCCCCAGTTTACCTATTTACTGATGGCCCTGCCTACACTGAATGACGTAATATATATATATATATATATATATATATATATATATATATATATATATATATATATGAGCAAAGAATATTTCACTTAATTTGGAACATATATGAGCAAAGAATATTTCACTTAATTTGGAACGGCAAGCCAGACAAAATTAAACGGGCCTATTTAGATAATGAATATGAATTCAGAGGGCTAAAATGATTAAATATTAAAGCATTGAACCTCTCACTAAAGGTTTCATTCATACAGAAGTTATACTTAAATCCGAACTGGTTCTCCAGCACATTAGTAAGAATGGCTCACCACATGTTAAAAAATAGCCTCTTTCTCTTTATTCAGATTACAAACACTCACTTTCGGTTATTTGAAAATGAAATAATCTAAAAAATATCGCAAATTTTTTTTTAAACAAGACATAGAAAGCTGGCAAGAATTTCAGTTAAACTCAAATATACTAATTGATAGAAAACATTATTATTTCTTTTAAAATGTTTAAAATGGAATAATCTTTGTTAGTGATATCATAAATAGGACTGGTGGAGTTATGTCACACATGTAGCTAAAAAAAGTATACAGTGAGGGAAAAAAGTATTTGATCCCCTGCTGATTTTGTATGTTTGCCCACTGACAAAGACATGATCAGTCTATAATTTTAATTGGTAGGTTTATTTTAACAGTGAGAGACAGAATAACAATAAAAAAAATCCAGAAAAATGCATGTCAAAAATTTTATAAATTGATTTGCATTTTAATGAGGGAAATAAGTATTTGACCCCCTCTCAATCAGAAAGGCTTCCAGGTGTCTTTTATACAGGTAACGAGCTGAGATTAGGAGCACACTCTTAAAGGGAGTGCTCCTAATCTCAGCTTGTTACCTGTATAAAAGACACCTGTCCACAGAAGCAATCAATCAATCAGATTCCAAACTCTCCACCATGGCCAAGACCAAAGAGCTCTCCAAGGATGTCAGGGACAAGATTGTAGGCTGGAATGGGCTACAAGACCATCGCCAAGCAGCTTGATGAGAAGGTGACAACAGTTGGTGCGATTATTCGCAAATGGAAGAAACACAAAAGAACGTCAATCTCCCTCGGCCTGGGGCTCCATGCAAGATCTCACCTCGTGGAGTTGCAATGATCATGAGAACGGTGAGGAATCAGCCCAGAACTACACGGGAGGAGCTTGTCAAATGATCTCAAGGCAGCTGGGACCATAGTCACCAAGAAATCAATTGGTAACACACTACGCCGTGAAGGACGGAAATCCTGCAGCGCCCGCAAGGTCCCCCTGCTCAAGAAAGCACATATACATGCCAGTCTGAAGTTTGCCAATGAACATCTGAATGATTCAGAGGAGAACTGGGTGAAAGTGTTGTGGTTAGATGAGACCAAAATCGAGCTCTTTGGCATCAACTCAACTCGCCGTGTTTGAAGGAGGAGGAATGCTGCCTATGACCCCAAGAACACCATCCCCACCGTCAAACATGGAGGTGGAAACATTATGCTTTGGAGGTGTTTTTCTGCTAAGGGACAGGACAACTTCACCGCTTCAAAGGGACGATGGACGGGGCCATGTACCGTTAAATCTTGGGTGAGAACCTCCTTCCCTCAGCCAGGGCATTGAAAATGGGTCGTGGATGGGTATTCCAGCATGACAATGACCCAAAACACACGGCCAATGCAACAAAGGAGTGGCTCAAGAAGAAGCACATTAAGGTCTTGGAGTGGCCTAGCCAGTCTCCAGACCTTAATCCCATAGAAAATCTGTGGAGGGAGCTGAAGGTTTGAGTTGCCAAACATCAGCCTCGAAACCTTAATGACTTGGAGAAGATCTGCAAAGAGGAGTGGGACAAAATCCCTCTTGAGATGTGTGCAAACCTGGTGGCCAACTACAAGAAACGTCTGACCTCTGTGATTGCCAACAAGGGTTTTGCCACCAAGTACTAAGTCATGTTTTGCAGAGGTGTCAAATACTTATTTCCCACATTAAAATGCAAATCAATTCATAACATTTTTGACATGCGTTTTACTTGATTTTTTTGTTGTTATTCTGTCTCTCACTGTTCAAATAAACCTAGCATTAAAATTATAGACTGATCATGTCTTTGTCAGTGGGCAAACGTACAAAATCAGCAGGGGATCCCAAAAAAATTCCCTCACTGTAGCTTGTTTTTCGTTGCATGTTCAGGAATGGCTGAAAAATCACAGCATTTACCTAAAGCTTGTGGTTGCCTACCCTCACCGCCTGGGGGCGGCCCGTCAGGAAGTCCAGGATCCAGTTGCAGAGTAAGGTGTTCATTCCCTGGGTCCTGAGCTTTTTGATGAGCTTGGAAGGGACTATGATGTTGAATGCTGAGCTGTAGTCAATGAACAGCATTCTGACATAGGTATTCCTTTTGGGCAGTGTGGAGTGCAATAGCGATTGCGTCATCTGTGGATCTGTTGGGGCGGTATGCGAATTGGAGTAGGTCCAGGTTGTCTGGGATGATGGTGTTGATGTGAGCCAACCTGATAAGCATTTCATGGCTATAGATGTGATTGCTACGGGGCGATAGTCATTTAGGCAGGTTACCTTGATGTTATTGGGCACGGGGACTATGGTGGTCTGCTTGAAACAAGTTGCTATTACAGAACGTGTCAGGGAGAGGTGAAGACACGTGTCAGCTGGTCAGCGCATGCTCTCAGTACGCGTCCTGGTATTCCGTCTGGCCCTGCGGCCTTGCGAATTATAACCTGTTTAAAGGTCTTACTCACATCGGCTACGGAGAGCGAGATCACACAGTTGGGCTCTCATTTATAGGCACCTGAGCAATGGAGCAGCTGCATCCACACTTTTTTTTCCAGAAAAGTATCATGATCCATTGGATAATTTTCAATGATTAGTCATGTTTTGAGCTAGTCTGTATTAAGATAGATATGTCAACTTTATTTATTTATATAATTAACAGATTGCATATTGCACCTCCCCCCGTCGCCTGAAGATGAATGGTTTTACCCACTGGAAAGTTTTGCTTCCCTCCCGCACGCCACTGTTTTGGTTCAGTGCAGTTCGAAAGCACTAGTTGCACCACTGGTGTTTAAAATCCAAAGGCACCTGCAGGCATTTAACAGCACTGTGCATTGTTGCCATATATTTTCCCAACATCAATCCTTTAATCCTTAATTCTGTTGACACCCCCGTGCATCAATCGAATTAACATAATACTCAAATACCCATAAAGAACCTTCAGTTTAAGCTAGAGATATGTTTTTTTTGTATGGGCAGCATCTTAATACACCACATCCGCCTATGTCAGCCTGTTGCATCTGCGGTGGAAAGTGGCAGAGCTATAGATCTGTTTGTCAGACCAGGAGACATCCCACAAATCGGGTCGTAGAGCAAAATAGAGAACACCATTGTGTTTGTGAGAGTCTCCCCTTTCCACAGTGGGGTCATATTAGTTTGTAGGCCAAACAGTTTGGACGCTACAGACAGAAGTTGGCACATTGGCGGTACCAATGTCCCGTGGGGGTTGTAGAGCAAAACGGAGAACACCATCGTGCTCCTGATAGTCTCGTCTTTCTATAGAGTTGGTCATGGTCAGCAGGCCAAACCATTCGGACACTACAGACGTTTTCGGGATGTCTCCTTGTCTGACAAACAGCGCTGTAGCTCTGTCACTTTCCACCGCAGATATGGTCAATTAAGATGCAGCCCATGCAAAAAAATAAAAAATACAGATACAGCATCTCTAGCTTAAACTGACGGATTTGATGGGGATTTAAAAAAAAATGTTAATTAGGTTATATACTCTTAAGGATTAATTATTGGGGGTGGGATTTTCAGGGAAGGGAGTAGATTAGTAAGAAAGAAATGAAAACACATTTTCAATATAATTTGTTGTGGCAAAACCTAAGAACAGTATCAATCAAATTTCAATCAAATGTATTTATAAAGCCCTTTTTACATCAGCAGATGTCATAAAGTGCTTTACAGAAACCCAGCCAAAAACCCCAAACAGCAAGCAATGCAGATGTAGAAGCACGGTGGCTAGGAAAAACTCTCTAGAAAGGCAGGAACCTAGGAAGAAACCCAGAGAGGAACCAGGCTCTGAGGGGTGGCCAGTCCTCTTCTGGCTGTGCCAGGTGGAGATTCTAAGAGTACATGGCCATTAAGGCCAGATTGTTCTTCAGGATGTTCAAATAGTTGTGTTCTGTTCATAAATATGGATTCCCCCTGTGAAGAAATAGTGTATTATTGCAGGAAATGGTTTTCTGCAATTCTAAAAAATGTAACATTATTTTTTAAATAAAGAAAGCCAGGTGCTCATGCTCTTGCAAGCATAAAAAGCATTTAGCTCTTGTTCAGACCCTGCTTACTAAAGGAATATTTCTGAATTTTGGCAATTAAGCCCATTATCTACTTCCCCAAAGTCAGATTAACTCATGGATACCATTTTTATGTCTCTGCATCCAGTATGAAGGAAGTTATGTGGTTTCGCCAGCCAATGCTAACTAGCGTTGATGCAATGACTGGAGGTGCGCTAATGCGAGTTAGCAATTGCACTAACGCTAGTTAGCAACTTCCTTCAAACTGCACGCAGAGACATAAAATGTTATCCATGAGTTAATCTCATAAATAGTAGATAAAGGCCTTTCATTGCCAAATATCCCAAAGTATCCCTTTAATAATCACTGTCTGAACAAGAGCTAAATGCCTTCTATGCTTGCTTCGAATAGTATTTAAGAGATATAAGGGGTATTTTTTTTAGATAAAAGGAAATGCTTTTTGTGTGTTCTTGGATGGTTAATGTTATGATTTGTTGTCTCCCGCCCCTCTCTCTCTCTCTCTCTCTCTCTCTCTCTCTCTCTCTCTCTCTCTCTCCCTCTCTCTCTCTCTCTCTCTCCCTCTCTCTCTCTTTCTCTCTCCCAATATCTCTCTCAATAGGCACCTTGGCTTGGACCTTGTTCCTAGAAAGGAGTTTGAAATGGTGGATCCGGATCATATCAGTGCATCTGAACTCTACAAAATGGTACGGTCAACATAGGGAGGTATTAATGTTGCATTCTGTACATTGCCATTCTATGTGGGTGTTATGTGTGAATGCAAATCTATGCACATCGTTTCCTCTATCAAACCCCTGGGAAATAAGAGAACAGTGACCCTCAAGATGTGCATTATTATAATATATTATTATACACGCACAGTGTACTTCCACAGATTCTTCCTTTGTGTGATAGTATTTTAATATAAGTGTGTGGGTTGTGAATTACTGTATTTGTTGTATTTACTGACAAGTGTGTTTATGCAAATATATGTTGGAATCTGTTTGTATGTGTGTGCTGTATGATTTGTGTGTGTCTGCCGCCTTGTGCACTTGTGAATGTATGTGTCTTGTATGGATTTTCTGAGTAAGGGTGTGTGTGTGTGTGTGTGTGTGTGTGTGTGTGTGTGTGTGTGTGCGGCACAACTCCGCTTTTGTGGATCAAGCCAGTTCATCCCCCCTACTCTTTAAGGTCACGTTGATGCCATATTGAGAGTGTTCCTCTACATGCGCACACATGACCAAAACGTGAACGTTAACTAGATGCACTGTGACAGCCATGTCAGAGGATTTGAAAAAACACACACGTTTTGGTTATTGTAATTTACATAGTACAGTCTGGGTTACGTAAACTAACCACATCTATAGTTGAGACATAATTCTATAAATAAGTTATATCCCAAATGTGCTCTTGGAATTTGGAATAAGCTGTAGTAACGTAGGAGGGAGTTCTACACTAAGTGAACACCCCCAGTAAAAGGAGATTAGAATGACTCAGCCAGATCCAGAATTAGGAAAGTGTAATCACTGCTCAGACGTAGATGTCATGTTTTGGGGGAGGCCATCTTGGAAATGGGAGACCCAGTCTTGACCAATGGTGGAGGGTCCATATGCTGGTCTAATACCGTCTCCAACTGCCCTGCAGTCGCCTATTATTGCTGTGCCATTTTTATCGGCTTTGCAGGCAGATTGTTAGTGCATTAAATGCTCGGTCCAGAAACAACAGTGTGGTGCACCCCTGCCAAAAAGCCTCCTCACTCTGTTGATGAAAGTGAGGTTGTTTTTGGTAGGGCACACAGGCCTTGGCGCCTCTTCAGGTAGGAGTAAATGAGATCTCTTAGGTTGCGGAGCAGAGAGGTGTGTGTGTATGTGTGTGTGTGGGCGATCTGTGCTTTGTCCTCTCCTCTCCCATGGGCTCACGTTCTACCTCATGTGGGCTTATTTTTGGGATACTGCTCACTGAAGGAACCTCTAGGCAAAATTGGTGGGCGCCTTTATATCAGAATTCATGCATCTATTGCACTGTACTATACAACAGGTGTGGGCTCTTTGTGAGGAACTAGTGTATTGATCATGAGTATGAATAGAATGGAATGGGTTGACTAAACTGAAATCTCTCTTCTCTATGTACCCCACAGCATGCATCCAGCAGACACTGTGGCCAGCCAAGCACAAACCAGGTATGACCTCAATAAAATATCCTATGCAGTAGCTAGAACCGGGTGGAGATACACTGTATGCATGAGAACTCATTTGACACGCCACTACTGACAAAATACATGCCACCATTTTGAATGATCACCATAACCATCAACACTACCACAAACCCAACACAAACACAAATCCATTCAATGTGAACGATCACCTAGCTGGCAAAACGCATCCACAAACCTGTCTACCACACAGTGACAACATTCACAGGGTAGATACACGTAGCATGTGTGCAGTGCAGTGCAGTCAGAGCTTTGCCCCTCAGTAAGGACCTGTCTTGTTAGTGTTCGTCGTCCGATCGTTCTCAGGGCGACAGCGTGCGTCAGCGCCATGGAGACGGTTGCCGTGTTCCGGTGCTGCACCACCTCTTCATCAACCTGAAGAGCTTCACCTACAACACCATCAGCGAGGAGGCAGATGTCTTCTTCTCCCTCTACGACACCCGGGACAACAAACAGATCAGGTAGACGCACAGTCAACACTCCATACACACACAGGACACATTAACACAACCTCTACAGGCACACGTGCAAGAAGCAGCAGGTCAGGTACTTAAGAGGGAGCCACCGGACATCTTATTTTCCTTCTATGATACGTGTGACAACGACCAGAACAGATACTGGAAGGACAGCTGCAGGACACACACAGAACTCAAACATACAGGGCACGCACATACAGAACACACACACGCAAACAACCTCTATGATACACGTGAGGCCCAAATCGAGCGGGTGCTAGAGGGCATAGTAGACACAAACCACACCCCAAACATGTCACCCTCACTCAGCGCTAGGCCTTTCCCTCATGTGACCCATTTACACCCCAGACAGCACCACATTGTAAAGCTCAAGGTTTCCTACACTTGCAAAATAGAATGATCTCAATGGGACTACTTGGTTTAATAAGGATTACATTTAAAAACAATGTGACTTGAATCATGTAACGTATGTCTTCCTCCTCAGTGAGAAGTTTATGGTGAGACTGAACAAAAATGGAGGGCCAAAAAACCCAGAGAAGGTGGACCGTCTGTGTGCTCTCTTCACGGTAACTTTCCGCTCTCCATCCTTACATGATGGCTCATAGGATTTTAGCTTTGGATGAGCTATTCATGGATATGTTATTCAACAGCAACCACAGTAAAACAGCAACACATTTAAGTAAATCATGTAGTTAACTTGTCACGGTCGTCTATGTCGTCTAAGTATGACCAAGGCGCAGCGTGTCCAAGAAACATGACTTTAATAATTAAACGTCATAGAACTACAAAACAAAAGACGACTCAATGAAGTCCACGGTACACAGACCGAAACGGAACAAAAACCCACAATTCCCACAGGAAAACATTCAGATTAAATATGGCTCCCAATCAGAGATAACGAGCCGACAGCTGACACTCGTTACCTCCGATTGGGAGTCATAGACCAAACCTAGAAATGAAGCCAACAGAAAGGCAAACCTAGAAATACACCCAAACCCAACATAACAAAATACACCCTGGCTCAAATACAAAAGTCCCGGAGCCAGAGTGTCACAGTACCCCCCCCTAAAGGTGCGAACTCCGGGCGCACCAGCATACAGTCTAGGGGAGGGTCTGGGTGGGCGTCTGTCCACGGTGGCGGTTCTGGCCCTGGTCGTGGTCCCCACCCCACCTTAGTCACTATCTGCTTCCGTAGCCTCCTCCACATGACCACCCCCCAACTAAACCCCACTGGATTAAGGGGCGGCACCGGACTAAAGGGCAGCACCGGACTAAGGGGCAGCACCAGGATAAGGGGCAGCACCGGGCTAAGGGACAGCACCGGACTCAATGGCGGATCCTGGCTGGCTGGCTCTGGCGGATCCTGGCTGGACGGCTCATGGCTGGCTGAAGGATCTGGCTGCTCATGGCTGGCTGACGGATCTGGCTGCTCATGGCTGGCCGACGGATCTGGCTGCTCATGGCTGGCCGACGGATCTGGCTGCTCATGGCTGGCTGAAGGATCTGGCTGCTCATGGCTGGCTGACGGATCTGGCTGCTCATGGCCGGCTGACGGATCTGGCTGCTCATGGCTGGCGGAAGACTCTGGCTGATCCTGTCTGGCGGAAGGCTCTGGCTGATCCTGTCTGGCGGAAGGCTCTAGCGGCTCCGGTCTGGCGGACGGCTCTGAAGGCTCATGGCAGACGGGCGGCTTTGCAGGCTCAGTCCAGACGGCCAGTTCAAGCGCCTTTGGGCAGACGGGCAGTTCAGGCCCCGTTGGGCAGACGGCAGACTCTGGCCGTCTGAGGCGCACCGTAGGCCTGGTGCGTGGTGCCGGAACTGGAGGTACCGGGCTGAGGACACGCATCTCAGAGCTAGTGCGGGGAGAAGCAACAGGGCATGCTGGACCCTGGGAACGCACATAAAGCCTAGTGCGGGGAGAAGGAACAGGGCATGCTGGACCCTGGGGACGCACATAAGGCCTAGTGCGGAGAGCAGCAACAGGACGCACAGGACTCGGGGAACACACAGGAGGCTTGGTGCGTGGTGTAGGCACTGGTGGTACTGGGCTGGAGCGGGGAGGTGGCGCCGGAAATACCGGACCGTGCAGGCTTACTGGCCCCCTTGAGCACTGAGCCTGCCCAACCTTACCCGGGTTGATGCTCCCCGTCGCCCGACCAGTACGGGGAGGTGGAATAACCCGCACCGGCCTATGTGGGCGAACCGGGAACACCATGCGTAAGGCTGGTGCCATGTACGCCGGCCCGAGAAGACGCACTGGTAGCCGGATGCGTTGGGCCGGCTTCATGACATCTGGCTCAACGCTCACTCTAACCCGGCCGATACGTGGAGCTGGAATGTACCGAACCGGGCTATGCCTGCGTACAGGAGACACCATGCGCTCTACTGCGTAACACGGTGTCTGCCCGTACTCTCGCTCTCCACGGTAAATCCAGGGAGTAGGCGCAGGTCTCCTAACTGACTTCGCCACACTCCCTTTAAGCCCCCCCCCAAGAAATTTTTGGGTGGTACCCACGGGCTTCCAGCCTTGACTCCGTGCTGCCTCCTCATACCGCCTCCTCTCGGCTTTAGCTGCCTCCAGCTCTTCACGAGGGCGGCGATATTCTCCCGGTTGTGCCCAAGGACCCTTTCCAGCCAGTATCTCCCCCCATGTCCATGAATCCTTAGGAGCAGGGTCCTGTTGCCGCTTGACACGCTGCTTGGTCCTATTATGGTGGGTTTTTCTGTCACGGTCGTCTATGTCGTCTAAGTATGACCAAGGCGCAGCGTGTCCAAGAAACATGACTTTAATAATTAAACGTCATAGAACTACAAAACAAAAGACGACTCAATGAAGTCCACGGTACACAGACCGAAACGGAACAAAAACCCACAATTCCCACAGGAAAACATTCAGATTAAATATGGCTCCCAATCAGAGATAACGAGCCGACAGCTGACACTCGTTACCTCCGATTGGGAGTCATAGACCAAACCTAGAAATGAAGCCAACAGAAAGGCAAACCTAGAAATACACCCAAACCCAACATAACAAAATACACCCTGGCTCAAATACAAAAGTCCCGGAGCCAGAGTGTCACATAACTAATGTGTTGTGTACATAAACACATGCCTCACATCCATGTACTTTAAGTAGGCTACAGTATTCTTTTGTTAATAGTGAGTTTATGTTTTATTCTTAGGATCTGAGCAGTAAAGACCTGAAGAGAGACCTGTACATCGTAGCACATGTCATACGAACTGGTAAGCCTATGTGAGATGGAGTAACAGAAATATCACAATGTTCATTCCAGGAAACCTTGGAAAGTAGCATTCCTCACATGGAGCTAATGCATTGTTGTTGATGTTGTTGTTGATGTTGTTGTCCCCAGGTCGTATGTTGCTGAATGACTCAAAGAAGGGTCCGCCCCACGTGCAGTACAGGAGACCGTACGGCTGTGCTGTTCTGGCCATGAGTGACGTGTTCCACACCATCACTGACCTCAAAGAGGAGAAGGACTTTGTGCTCAAAGTTTACACGTGAGTCACAGTCTGATCCTGACTTGCATTCTACATTTTAGTCATTTAGCAGATTATCTTGTTCAGAGCGACTTACAATGTATTTATTTATTTATTCGACAGGGACAATACACATGAATTAACATTAATGAATGAAATAACATTTCTGAAATGTGCCAGATTTAAACCAACGTTTTTCAAAATACTAAACCGCTCTTTTGCTGATGCCACATTCTGTATGTAGCTGGAGTCTTTGTAAATAGGGACATACCATCTAAATGGGATAAGTATGAGGTGATAGCCAGAATAACTGAACACTGTAGTGTGTCATCAGCCTTTCACAAAGATATCTCCATTAAAATTCTGCTGTTTTTACCGAGGCATGAATGTTCTACCAATGTTGTGTGAATGTTCCCTACCAAGCGCTTGACTGTGTTGATGTGTTGTGCACTTGAACCAGAATGATAATGAAGTGTCCTCTGGAAAATCAATATCTGCTCAACCAGGGCCTAAGATTGTGCTCCTGGTGTGATGTGAATCTGGCTCCCTCTGTTAGGCACCACTCAAGGGACACTCCTGTACCCCCGCCAAGCAATGAAGAGATTAGAGAGGCAGAGAGAGAGGAAGACTGAGAGGCACAGAGAGCGAGAGAGGCACAGAGAGAGAGAATGTGTGTGTGTATGAGAGAGTGACGGAGATGACACTTAGACAAATGAACAAAGTTAGAGGACAAAGTTTGAGGAGGAGTAGAAGGGGAAAATAACACAGAGCTAAGCGTTCTGACTCGGTGACTCAACAGATGGCTATAGCACATCTCTTACTGTACGTCCTCCTATCCTCCTCCTTTCTTCCTCCTCTCCTCTTCCTCCTCCTCTGCCCTCCTCGGGGGTCTGTATCATGGGTTTTGGATGTGGTCTAGCCCGACGCTACTGATTTCTACTGTGGCACTGATGCTGTTTTAAATGCCCTTTTCCCAACATACACTACATGACCAAAAGTATGTGGACACCTGCTCATCGAACATCTCATTCCAAAATCATGGGCATTAATATGGAGTTGGTCCCCCCTTTGCTGCTATAACAGCCGGCTTTCCACTAGATGTTGGATCATTGCTGCCGGGGACTTGCTTCCATTCAGTCACAAGAGCATTAGTGAGGTCAGGCACTGATGTTGGGCGATTAGGCCTGGCTCGCAGTCGGTGTTCCAATTCATCCCAAAGGTGTTCAATGGGGTTGAGGTCAGGGCTTGGTGCAAGCTAGTCAAGTTCTTCCACACCAATCTTGACAAACCATTTCTGTATGGTTCTCGCTCTGTGCACGGGGGCATTGTCATGCTGAAACAGGAAAGGGCCTTCCCCAAACTGTTGCCACAAAGTTGGAAGCACAGAATCATCTAGAATGTCATTGTATGCTGTAGCGTTAAGATTTCCCTTCACTGGATCCAAGGGGCCTAGCCCGAACCATGAAAAACAGCCCCACACCATTATTCCTCCTCCACCAAACTTTACAGTTGGCACTATGCATTGGGGCAGATAGTGTTCTCCTGGCATCCGCCAAACCCAGATTCGTCCGTCGGACTGCCAGATGGTGAAGCGTGATTCATCACTCCAGAGAACGCGTTTCCACTGCTTCAGAGTCCAATGGCAGCGAGCTTTACACCACTCCAGCCAACGCTTGGCATTGTGCATGGTGATCTTAGGCTTGTGTGCGGCTGCTCGGTCATGGAAACCCATTTCATGAAGTTCCTGACGAACAGTTCTTGTTCTGACGTTGCTTCCAGAGGCAGTTTGGAACTCGGTAGTGAGTGTTGCAACTGAGGATAATTTTTATGCGCTACATGTTTCAGCACTCGGCGGTGCCGTTCTGTGAGCTTGTGTGGCCTACCACTTCGCGGCTGAGCCGTTGTTGCTCCTAGACGTTTCCTAGACGCACTTACAGTTGACAGGGGCAGCTCTAGCAGGGCAGAAATTTGACAAACTGACTTGTTTAAAAGTCACTGAGCTCTTCAGTATGGCCATTCTACTGCCAATGTTTGTCTATGGAGATTGCATGGCAATGTGCTCGATTTTATACACCTGTCAGCAACGGGTGTGGCTGAAATAGCCGAATCCACAAATTTGAAGGGGTCTCCACATATCTTTGTATATATAGTGTATCTTGCCTTGAAAAAGCTTGATACATTACACTAAAGAAATTGTGCAGTATAAAATAAAAAACTATTTTTATGATGATGATTATAATTAGCCCTTTGCACGTCTCCTCAGAAAAAGCAAGCAGCGTTGTGAGTGTAGAGCAGAGCTGCCTCTAAACTGTCCGCTCCTATAATGCTCCAGCCTGTGCATTTCCCCCATGCCTCTCCCAGGGGCCTTTGGGCCTCCTCTACTGGTGGAGAGTAGAGGAAAGAACTTGCTGTCAGCTCAGCTTAGTGGCCTGTGAGTTTGGGGTAATATGTTGCTTGATAGCATGTCCCCCAGCTGGTACCTTTTGTCCAGGAGGAAATCGCTTCTGGGACATGCTGTTCAGTTAGTCCCTCGCCAACCGTCCCCATCTCTCCATCTGTCCCCCTCTAATGTGTGTGTCGTTAACGCTTCTCTCTATCGTTTTCTCCAGATGTAATAATGAGAACGAGTGGTTTCAGATCCATGAGAACATCATCCGCAAGTCCAGCACCAAGTACTCAGCTCCTAGCACCAACTACGGTACATATGATGACATCATTCAGGACTGTACATCTGTGGGGTCAGTTCCATTTCAATTCAGTCAATTCAGGAAGTACATTGGAAATGAGACATCCTCATGGAAGATAAATGGGAGTTTTCAATTCTTGAATTGAAATGACAATTAATCTCCTAAATGGACTAAATTGAAATGGAATTCTAGGGCATTGCATGTTGTTAAAGGGTGTTAATTACCAACTAAGAAAGAATGGAGATTGAATTCTAGAACATTCTGTGTTGAAAGGGTGTGAATTACCAACTAAGAAAGAAGGTAAGGTGTAAAGAACGTTTCAGACATACGTTATGAGATGCATACGTTACTGGCCCTGTCTGTCCTTGAAGATTGACTCAGATATGAATTGTCATAATTATGTATTGATCACCATGACCGTGACAATCAGCATTCATGTTATGCTGAAGGAAAGGGCTGTTATTATTTATGTTTAACTGCACATGTACGGGAGATATAAACAATGTGATAAGATAGAGGATATACTGTATTCTCTGTGGTTCGACATGTCAGTTCAAACAAACTTCAGTTTTAGTTTGACTGATAGAATGTCTGTACTACAAACATCTTTATGTCCTCCCTCAGTGTTATTTTCTGCGTCTCTCACTGGTATATTTCTGCAGCATAATGTGAGTCACTGAATTCAGTCATCTTGTCTTGCTCCACACCCTTCTCCTCTGTTTTTCTATTCCTAATGCCACCCAACCATGTTTTCTCTCTCTGACTCCCATCTCTCCATCAATGCTCCTGTCTCTTCCTTCTCCTCCCTCTAACATCCCCTTCCTCCCTTTCACTCTCTCTTCCTCTTTCACCCCTCTTGCTCCCTCCCTCCCTCCCTCCCGCCCGCCCTCCCTCTCCATCCCTCCCGCCCGCCCGCCCGCCCGCCCTCCCTCTCCATCCCTCCCTCCCCCTCCCCAGGCCTCATCATCTCTCTACAGCTGCTGCGGGGGGAGCTGGATCAGATCAGGAGGGAGAACCAGGCTGTGTTCAGCAGGGCCCTGGCCATCATGCGCAAACTCTGCTTCCCTGACGTCATCATGCCAGGTGAAGGGTAGGGAGCAGGGGGTAGGATGACAGAACCAGGCTGTGTTCAGCAGGGCCCTGGCCATCACATACAAACTGGGTATCCCTGACATCATCTAGCCACAAAGTCAAAATGTGCTATATCGTAAAAATGCATGAAAACAAAAATGTGCTTTTTGGTTTTCATTTACAGTTAGGGTTAGCAGTGTGGTTAAGGTTATGGTTAGGTTTAAAATCAGATTTTAAGAAGAGAAATTGTAGTAATAGGCGGGGTTTATGACTTTGTGGCTGTGGCAACTAGTGACGACCGTAGTAGAGGGTAGGAAGTAGGGAGGGGGTTCCAGAAACTATGGCTAGTGTTTCGTTCAAAGGAAGTGATGCATTAGGTGAGATAACCAGATGTTCAGAAGGACACCAGTTGGACAGACACAGTTGGACACCAGATACAAAATGCTCACAACCAGATGTTTCACTTGAAATAAACACATTTCAATGAGGTCTGTACCGGGGAGAATGTAAGCAGTTGTTCTATACTTCTGACAACATTTTGGTCAGAGGCTAAAACCATGACCATTTGTAAATAAACAATCGAGGTCTTCAAAGATTCTGTCAAAGGAGTAAAGGGCCATAAAGTGTGTGCGTGTGTGTGTGTGTGTGTGTGTGTGTGTGTGTGAGATGTGTGCATTTGTCTCACATGTTTATTTCAACTTGTTTCATCATTCGGCATCCCTCTTCTAGGCCTCATTGAGATAAATACTACAGTGTACACACACACACACACACACACACACACACACACACACACACAGCTCCACTTCCTTTCATTCTGATTTAAAATAACTCCCAACACCACTGTCAGTGACTCATTTATCCCCAAGGAAATGAGTTAGATATAAATAACAGTAATCTGATTTTATAAATAACTGCAATATCTTCTTTCACTGTAGTCATTGATATATTTTCCATTAAGCACTGACCTCACAAGGAGTGCTGTGGCAGTTATTACACCTCAGGAGGGCCACGTGAATCACTGTCTGTAGGAGCAAACCATTTTAGTGAACGGGGTGGTGTACCTAATAAACTAGCCACTGAGTGTATGTCATTTTTTCGTTGACAAGAACAATAATGTTTGGCGTCAGCGCTGCATCCTAATTCATAATGTCCACACTCATCTGAGCTGCCCCAGGATCACTTGGGGCTCAGGTAAATTATAGAAGAAGACGAAAAACAGAGTATAAACTAAAGGTAAACTCACAATTCCGTGCTCATAAAACTTCCATTCGCAGCACATGGGGGACAGGTTTTGTCCTAGGCTTGGAACTTCTGGAGATGCTATAGTCTCGTGGGCATTCTAAGGCCTATTCCTCTGAACTGTAGTGACACTGTAGCTGGGAAGGCCTGAGAGAATAGTCTACAACAGAACACTGTGTTTGTGCCTAACGTCATGGTTTGACCGTGTGTCTGTATCCTAGGTGACACTCGTAATGACCTGTACCTGACCCTGGAGCGAGGGGACTTTGAGAGGGGGGGCAAGAGTGTCCAGAAAAACATTGAGGTCACCGTCTATGTGCTTTATGCTGATGGGGACACACTCAAGGTAAGAGAGAACATTTATGTTGGTTTGTCGTAATTGTTTTGGATTTTTTTTATTTCAATCATTTGATAGACTATAACACCATTATACATCCATTCATCCATTCATTTATCCATCCATCCATCTACAGATGTTGAATGTTTATTTGACCCTTTTCGTCGCAGGAGGAAAATAAGGCTGCAGCAGGAGGATTTGATAAGCTAAAGAAATATGTAGAATCGTCGCCGGTGGCAGCTGGAAGCAATGTTTGTATACAATGCAGTACCGTACCAACATTGTACCTAAGGGCTCGGACACACCAATAGCGTTTGCTGGCCAAGAGTACTTAGCACCTCTGAATGTAATTTGCGAACGATTTTACATGTAGAATCGCAAGAAAAATTTTGGCAGTCATGCATCTACAGCCTAAAACATAGCACGCTGAACGATTGGCAGACGAAAGCTAGATCCACATTCTGTGCGATGTGTGCGAGCCTTAACTGCAGGTCCACTGGGTGCCACTAGAGCACGTCTCATGTGAATTATAATAAATGGACATAAAGTGAGCTCCAAAAGTATTGGGACAGTGACACATAGTTTGTTGTTTTGGCTCTGTACTCCAGCACTTCGGATTTTTAAATGATACAATGACTATTAAAGTGCAGACTGTCAGCTTTAAATTGAGGGTATTTTCATCCATATCGGGTGAATTGTTTTGAAATTACAGCACTTTTTGTACATAGTCCCCCCATTTTACGGGACCAAAAGTATTGGGACAAATTCACATATGTGTATTAAAGTAGTAAAAAGTTAAGTATTTGGTCCCATATTCATAGCTCGCAATGACTACATCAAGCTTGTGACTCTACAAATTTGTTGGATGCATTTGCTGTTTGTTTTGGTTGTGTTTCAGATTGTTTTGTGCCCAATAGAAATGTATAGTATATAATGTATTGTGTCATTCTGGAGTCACTTATATTATAAATAAGAATAGAATATGTTTCTAAACACTTCTACATTAATGTGGATGCTACCATGATTACGGATAATCCTGAATGAATCATGAATAATGATGAGTGAGAAAGTTACAGACGCACAAATATCATACCCCCAAGAAAGAAAATGTGGGGTATGATATTTGTGCATCTGTAACTTTCTCACTCATCATTATATAAGCATTGGCGTCAACATGGGCCAGCATCCCTGTGGAACGCTTTCGACACATTGTAGAGTCCATGCCCTGACGAATTGAGGCTGTTCTGAGTGCAAAAGAGGGTGTAACTCAATATTTAAAAATCATGGGCTGTTTGATTTTTTACAGTGAGGGCAGAAAGTATTTGATCCCCTGCTGATTTTGTACGTTTGCCCACTGACAAAGAAATTATCAGTCTATAATTTTAATGGTAGGTTTATTTGTACAGTGAGAGACAGAATAACAACAAAAAAATCCAGAAGAATGCATGTCAAAAATGTTATAAATTGATTTGCATTTTAATGAGGGAAATAAATATTTCACCCCTCTCAATCAGAAAGATTTCTGGCTCCCAGGTGTCTTTTATACAGGTAACAAGCTGAGATTAGGAGCACACTCTTAAAGGGAGTGGTCCTAATCTCAGTTTGTTACCCGTATCAAAGAAACCTGTCCACAGAAGCAATCAATCAATCAGATTCCAAACTCTCCACCATGGCCAAGACCAAAGAGCTCTCCAAGGATGTCAGGGACAAGATTGTAGACCTACACAAGGCTGGAATGGGCTACAAGACCATCACCAAGCAACTTGGTGAGAAGGTGACAACAGTTGGTGCGATTATTCGCAAATGGAAGAAACACAAAATAACTGTCAATCTCCCTCGGCTTGGGCCTCCATGCAAGATCTCACCTCGTGGAGTTGCAATGATCATGAGAACGGTGAGGAATCAGCCCAGAACTACACGGGAGGATCTTGTCAATGATCTCAAGGCAGCTGGGACCATTGTCACCAAGAAAACAATTGGTAACACACTACGCCGTGAAGGACTGAAATCCTTCAGCGCCCGCAAGGTCCCCCTGCTCAAGAAAGCACATATACAGGCCTGTCTGAAGTTTAACAATGAACATCTGAATGATTCAGAGGAGAACTGGGTGAAAGTGTTGTGGTCAGATGAGACCAAAATCGAGCTCTTTGGCATCAACTCAACTCGCTGTGTTTGGAGGAGGAGGAATGCTGCCTATGACCCCAAGAACACCATCCCCACTGTCAAACATGGAGGTGGAAACATTATGCTTTGGGGGTGTTTTTCTGCTAAGGGGACAGGACAACTTCACCGCATCAAAGGGACGATGGACGGGGCCATGTACCGTCAAATCTTGGGTGAGAACCTCCTTCCCTCAGCCAGGGCATTGAAAATGGGTCGTGGATGGTATTCCAGCATGACAATGACCCAAAACACACGGCCAAGGCAACAAAGGAGTGGCTCAAGAAGAAGCACATTAAGGTCCTGGAGTGGCCTAGCCAGTCTCCAGACCTTAATCCCATAGGAAATCTGTGGAGGGAGCTGAAGGTTTGAGTTGCCAAACGTCAGCCTCGAAACCTTAATGACTTGGAGAAGATCTGCAAAGAGGAGTGGGACAAAATCCCTCCTGAGATATGTGCAAACCTGGTGGCCAACTGCAAGAAACGTCTGACCTCTGTGATTGCCAACAAGGGTTTTGCCACCAAGTACTAAGTCATGTTTTGCAGAGGGGTCAAATACTTATTTCCCTCATTAAAATGCAAATCAATTTATAACATTTTTGACATGCGTTTTTCTGGATTTTTTTGTTGTTATTCTGTCTCTCACTGTTCAAATAAACCTACCATTAAAATTATAGACTGATCATTTCTTTGTCAGTGGGCAAACGTACAAAATCAGCAGGGGATCAAATACTTTTATCCCTCACTGTATTTAATTTTTTTATTGTTAGAGTCACACTCCATTCCCTAGGCTACCTCACTATTCTCAATTTCATCTTGTCTTTACATCTGATATTATAGGCCTGTGTGTGATAATATTTTATAGGCTATATATTTTAGGTGTAGCCTACCGTATGGCTGTATTTTGGATACCTTTTGACACTTTTATGTCGTAGTGGAGACCAATATCTATCTTGTGTTATTATGCTATATAAAATGACCGATTTTTAATGTGTATGGATGCATTTCAGATAAAGAAAATTACATTTGAATGTTGCAGTAATATGACCTATAGGCCAATAGTAGCAGTAGGACATTTAGTCATATTCTGTCTGGTGCTTGTGGCGTTTGAGCGAGCGAGAGAGGGAGGATAATTTTGATAGCTAGCACTGGTCCGAATTACTCGACTGCCCCCGCATGGAGAGAAAGAGACCGTATCTAAATCACAGGTCTCATTTAAATTTCCTGATACGCAGGAAAACTTGCCGCCACAAAAGAGTGATCAAATTAAGATACATACATGGATGGATGCATACATCTGCATCCATTCATCCATCCATCCATCCATCCATTCTAAAGAGTGCCTGTCCTCTCTCTGTTCCCGCCATCAGGACTGTATCAGTCTAGGTAGTGGGGAGCCCAACACAAGTGAGCACCGCTCCTTTGTCCTCTACCACAACAACAGCCCTCGCTGGAGTGAGATGATCAAACTTCCCATCCCCATAGACCGCTTCAGAGGATCACACCTGCGCTTTGAGTTTAGACACTGCTCCAGTAGGTCAACAACTCTAGACATGACTTAGAAATATTATTGTTATACTATTTATGAACTGAATTGTGTATGGTATTGTCTGTGCTGCGTAGATGGTATAAACTATACAGTAATGCCTTTGTGTCTCTCCTCAGCTAAAGACAAAGGGGAGAAGAAGCTGTTTGGTTTTTCCTTCACTCCTCTGATGAGGGAGGATGGGACCACGCTATCAGGCGAGAGCCATGAGCTCTATGTCTATAAGGTGGGGTCACACAGACATGCACATACACTTGCATATTGCAGCTATTCTACACTCTTCTCTGTCATTTCTATCTAACACATTTCTCTGTTGTGCCTCTGTCCTCCAGTGTGATGAGAATGCAACGTTCAGTAACCAGGGCCTGTACCTGAGCATGCCCTGCTGTAAGGAGGACTTCAACAGCTGCCCCAACCTGCCCTCCACCCTGCCCTTCCAGAGGAACCCCAAGGAGACCTTCTGGGTCTCCACACAGCTCTGCTCCACCAAGCTCACCCAGAACGGTACGGCCAACTCACTACACTGTGCATCTCACCACATTCACACAGCGCTATAACAGAGCTTTGACTAGCCTCTTCATCCAGAGCTTTACATCTGTATTTGGAGGAGCGGTGCTCACTTGTGTGGTCCTCTGTAGCTCAGCTGGTAGAGCACGGCGCTTGTAACGCCAAGGTAGTGGGTTCGATCCCCGGGACCACCCATACACAAAAATGTATGCACGCATGACTGTAAGTCGCTTTGGATAAAAGTGTCTGCTAAATGTCATATTATTTATTATTTGTGTTTATTTTATTATATTATATTATTCTCTGTTTCCAGTGGACCTCCTGGCCCTACTGAACTGGAAAGCCCACACTGACAGGGTGTTGGACATCCTGGGCAGACTACGCCATATCAATGGAGAGGAGATTGTCAAGGTAACACTCTTTTAGTCAATCAATACATACATCTAGGGAAACGCCCTCTTGACTGTTTGGCCAAACACTAACAGATCTGTGACTAGCCATAGTTTTGGGGAACTAGGATGGTGAAATGATTGAGCTGGCTCCTCTCTCCTGCAGTTCCTACGAGATGTCCTGGATACACTCTTTTGTCTCCTGGATGACAACACAGATAAATACGGACCACTGGTTTTCCAGTCATTGGTAGGTCAAGATGGAGAGATCAACCTCATTCAATTTAATGGAATATAGTGCACGTGTGTGTGTGTGTGTTTATGTACAGTGGGGAGAACAAGTATTTGATACACTGCCGACTTTGCAGGTTTTCCTACTTACAAAGCATGTAGAGGTCTGTAATTTTTATCATAGGTACACTTCAACTGTGAGAGACGGAATCTAAAACAAAAATCCAGAAAATCACATTATATGATTTAAAGTAATTAATTTGCATTTTATTGCATGACATAAGTATTTGATCACCTACCAACCAGTAAGAATTCCGGCTCTCACAGACCTGTTAGTTTTTCTTTAAGAAGCCCTCCTGTTCTCCACTCATTACCTGTATTAACTGCACCTGTTTGAACTCGTTACCTGTATAAAAGACACCTGTCCACACACTCAATCAAACAGACTCCAACCTCTCCACAATGGCCAAGACCAGAGAGCTGTGTAAGGACATCAGGGATAAAATTGTAGACCTGCACAAGGCTGGGATGGGTTACAGGACAATAGGCAAGCAGCTTGGTGAGAAGGCAACAACTGTTGGCGCAATTATTAGAAAATGGAAGAAGTTCAAGATGACGGTCAATCACCCTCGGTCTGGGGCTCCATGCAAGATCTCACCTCGTGGGGCATCAATGATCATGAGGAAGGTGAGGGATCAGCCCAGAACTACACGTCAGGACCTGGTCAATGACCTGAAGAGAGCTGGGACCACAGTCTCAAAGAAAACCATTAGTAACACACTATGCCGTCATGGATTAAAATCCTGCAGCCCACGCAAGGTCCCCCTGCTCAAGCCAGCGCATGTCCCGTCTTAAGTTTGCCAATGACCATCTGGATGATCCAGAAGAGGAATGGGAGAAGGTCATGTGGTCTGATGAGACAAAAATAGAGCTTTTTGGTCTAAACTCCACTTGCCGTGTTTGGAGGAAGAAGAAGGATGAGTACAACCCCAAGAACACCATCACAACCGTGAAGCATGGAGGTGGAAACATCATTCTTTGGGGATGCTTTTCTGCAAAGGGGACAGGACGACTGCACCGTATTGAGGGGAGGATGGATGGGGCCATGTATCGCGAAATCTTGGAGGGAGCTGAAAGTCCATATTGCCCAGCGACAGCCCCGAAACCTGAAGGATCTGGAGAAGGTCTGTATGGAGGAGTGGGCCAAAATCCCTGCTGCAGTGTGTGCAAACCTGGTCAAGACCTACAGGAAACTTATGATCTCTGTAATAGCAAACAAAGGTTTCTGTACCAAATATTAAGTTCTGCTTTTCTGATGTATCAAATACTTATGTCATGCAATAAAATGCAAATTAATTACTTAAAAATCATACAATGTGATTTTCTGGATTTTTGTTTTAGATTCCGTCTCTCACAGTTGAAGTGTACCTATGATAAAAATTACAGACCTCTACATGCTTTGTAAGTAGGAAAACCTGCAAAATCGGCAGTGTATCAAATACTTGTTCTCCCCACTGTTTATGTGTGACTACATGTGTGAGAGTGTGCACACATGCGCGAATGCATGCATGACCGCATGTGTGTGTGACTACAGCATAATCCAATTTTCTCCATTATGGCTAAAACCTATCTTTTTTTGTTTTCCTCTCTGTCTGTCTTTTTGCCCTCAGGTGTTTATCATCAACCTTCTCAGGGACAGTCGTTTCTACCACTTCCGGCCTGTTATGGAGGCCTACATACAGAACCACTTTGCAGGAGCTCTAGCCTACAAGTAATATGCCACGTCTACCATTTCAACTGCTTCTATGGTGTTTGAGAGGTCTTGATGTCGGTATCATGTTGCTGAGTGGAAGCCATATACCTTTTTGTTTTGCTCATAATGTATTATATGAGATTTGTCTTGCTCTCTGCAGAAATATACAGAAATATATGACACTAATGTACATTTTCTTTGTCTTACATGGCCATGGGATACCCCATGTTTTACACCCTTTACTCTGTGTTCTTGTAGAGAGCTAATCCGCTGTCTGAAATGGTACATGGACCGCTCTGCTGAGGTTGTCAGACAGGACCACATCCAGGAGGCCATGAAGGTAAGGCTCACATCAGGACATGAGAGGAGGTGTGGACAAACAAAGTGAACCCATACACTGTTAGACACTCCCAACATGCTTTTCTTTACCAAACCTCACGTCTATAGATGAAAGGAAATATGACGTGACACAACACAAGACAATAGAACACATAATATAAAAATAATGGTATTTTACAGGTAATTGTGTCTTGTTCCGTCCTCTGTCCACCCTGCAGGCTCTGGAGTACCTATTTAAGTTCATTGTCCAGTCTCGGATCCTGTACTCGCGGGCGACCTGTGGTATGGAGGAGGACCAGTTCAGGGCCAGCATCCAGGAGCTCTTCCAGTCCATCCGCTTTGTGTTGAGTCTGGACAGCCGCAGCTCTGAGACCCTCGTCTTCACACAGGTCAGAACATCAAAACTTCCTGTCTGTTTGTCTGTAGCTTGTCTTTATGCCAGAAGGCTGAAATGTTATAGTTCTTGACCTTGGGTATTGTCCTCCTTTTCTACATAGACAAATCAGTTTGACTGGACTTCTATCTGTTGCTTGCCTGTAATGCACTTCAGGGATTTATCATTTGTATCATTTTATTTTTGCTCTGATCCCTCCCTTTACTGTTGCCCCGTCCTTGGCTTGCTCTTGGACAGTTTAGGGGTGTGATCAACTGCATGCCTTTCTATGGTAGTCATGCTCCAGGGCTCTCTCCTGTCTCAGTAAGTCACAGCGCCACCTTGTGTTGGTGACCCAGTGCAGCAGTTGCTCTCTGTCCTCAATCAGATATGTGTCACACTGCCGGGTCCATACTCGCAAACTCTTGCTTAAACCGGAGGTTTAGACCTTTTTTTTTAAATAGCTACCTCCGGCTTAAGCAAGCGTTTGCGAGTATAGACCCGCCTTGTTTTTGTTTATCTTCTTCTTATAGCACATTTTAAGACTTACGTCTCTTTACTCTCCCTGTATGGATGTTACTATAACTACTAGTGTCATTTATAGAATGGAGGAATACGAATGATCTAAAGACCTGCTCCTCTCTGTCTGTCTGTCTGTCTGTCTGTCTGTCTGTCTGTCTGTCTGTCTGTCTGTCTGTCTGTCTGTCTGTCTGTCTGTCTGTCTGTCTGTCTGTCTGCCCTTCTCTGTCTATCTGTCTTTCTCTGTCTGTCTGTCTGCCCTTCTCTGTCTATCTGTCTGTCTGTCTCTCTCTCTGCCCTTCTCTGTCTGTCTGTCTGTCTGTCTGTCTGTCTGTCTGTCTGTCTGTCTCTCTCTCTGCCCTTCTCTCTTTGTCTGTCTGTCTGTCTGTCTGTCTGTCTGTCTGTTCCTCTATTTCCCTGTCACTCCCTTCTTCTCTCTTCTCCTTGACCCTGTCAGGCGGCGTTGTTGAACAGTTTCCCAGACATTTTTGATGAGCTGCTGCAGATGTTCACGGTGCAGGAGGTGGCTGAGTACGTCCGGGGCACCCTGGGGAGCATGCCCAGTACGGTGGACATCGGCCAGTCTATGGACGTGGTCAAACTGCAGTCCATTGCCCGCACCGTCGAGAGCAGGCTCTTCTTCTTCCCTGGTAAGATTAAAGACTACAGGACAACTAAACTAACACAAAATGAATCTGTGAACACTGTTTGATGCTCCCAAAATGGCAATTTAATAGATGGTGGAACTGGGTCTTTGTCAGAATCTAAAAGGCAAGGGTTAAAGCTGGTTAAATATCTTTCTACATTTGATCCTTCACTTTCTCCCCATCTCCCTCGCTCTCCATACTCCTCCCACTCTCTCCCCCTCTCCTTTCCTCTCTCTCCCCCTGTCAGAGTCTCGTAGTATCTTGCTGCCGGTGGTCCTGCATCACATCCACCTGCACCTGCGCCAGCAGAGGGAGCTGCTGATCTGCTCAGGAATCCTCACCAGCATCTTCTCCATCATCAAGACCAGCTCTATGGTACATCACATCAATACTAAATCTACTGTAATAGTAGAGGTTGGAGGAAGAAGGTGCCCTTAACCACAGTATCAGATTACACTACCCCCAGGCCTAATCATAATCATTAGGGGGATGAAATTATATCTGACCCTGTATCAGTGGTTAGGGGCTACTTTTCTGTAACAAAGCTGGTACCATAACTGGTTACTAGTACATCTCCTGTACACAGTGTACCTAGTAATCCCAGTTAAACATCCTTTTCACATTTCCTGTTTCAAATGGAATTAAAGATGAGACGACTGAGTAGTTGGTAAAATGTTATACTCTGCCAAGGCTTGTTAAGGCAAGCATAACACATGTCATTGTTTAGACATTATTGTCAAGACATTATTATGTAGGCCACTTCACGTTGAGTGCTGAATTTATCTTTTAAATGGTCTGTCGAGCAGCTTATGCAAATGCTTTAATTATTCCCTGTCGCTCAGTCTCTCTCTTCTTCCCCTTCTTCTCTCCCTCTCTCCCGCTATTTCGTCTCCCCTTCTATCTCTCTCTCGCCTGTCTCCTCAATCACTTCTCTCCTTCTCGCTGTTTCTCTCTCCCTCTCTTCCTAGGAGTCTTCTGTGCAGGAGGAGGTAGAGATGATGGTGGAGAGCCTGTTGGATGTTCTGCTCCAGACTCTGTTGTCCATCATGTCCAAGTCTCAGTCTCTGGAGACAGCTAGAGGGCAGCGCTGTCCCCAGTGCACCGCTGAGATCACGGTCAGTGACTCTCCTCTCCTACACTGTCTGGCTGGATCTTTATTCACTGCATGAAACAGATACTGTATATCTTTTGTAATGCATGTAACCTCTCTAATATGGGTGTGTTTCTGCCTGTCCAGGGGGAGTATGTGTCCACTCTGCTGTCTCTACTCAGGCAGATGACAGAGATCCACTTCCACCACCTGCTCAACAACTTCCACAGCAAAGAGGAACTCAAGGTGAGAGCTGCTGTGTCAGTCTCAGTCTCACAGAGGAACCTGGGGTTGAGCTATAATGTACACAATACCAACTAAATCCATTGTCTTCCAGGAGTTCCTGTTGAAGATCTTCTGCGTGTTCCGGAACCTGATGAAGCTCACCATCTTCCCCCGAGACTGGAGTGTCATGAGGCTACTGACCAGTCAGTAAGTCTGACTCAGATGACCTATAACACTGCCTTCATATTGCCTCCTATATGAGATAAGGGATCATATCCAACCATGAGATGACACTCTCCTGACTCTGATCGCATGTGACATTAGTGTAGCCATTGCATCATCTATTTTTATCATAACGTTTTGCTGTCTCCTTCTGCAGTGTCATTGTGGCGACAACACAGTACCTGTCTCCAGCGTTACACAAGAACTTCTCAGAGGCGGATTTTGACTTCAAGGTGCGTGCTTCTGTAGAGAAACGAGAAGTGTCATGTTGTACAAGAGCAGTAAGTAAACAATAGAGCCTTCAATATCCCGGAGAAGTCAACCCCAAACCTGCTGTTCTGTCCATGTCTTTCTCTGTTTACAAAGGACTTTCTGTTTTGCTCTACGTGGTTTCCTAACAACAGTATGCTGTCATTATCTGAGCTGTATCTGGCTCCAGTCCAATGTGGCGGATTTGTCCAACCTGGATTTATGCCTGGAGGGAAAATATGGAAATGCAAAACCTGATGGTGAAATATGGGGCCATTAAAAAGGTGTATACAGTATATAGATATAACTTTATTGGAATCAAAATATGAGTTGATGTTTGTATATGTGTGTTCTCTGTACCAGGTGTGGAATTCCTTCTTCAGCCTGACGGTCCTGTACATCAACCAGCCCAGTCTGCAGCTGGAGCCCCTGACCCAGGCCAAGAGGAAGAAAGTTCTGGACAAGTAAGGACCTCTGTTCAATGTCCATCAATTATATCCTGAAATACATATTTCCTACATCTATCTACGTGTGGTCACTCAGTAGCTAGTATTCTCTACATTCTCCCCATGTACCTTCTCTGCAGGTATGGAGATATGAGGGTGATGATGGCTTATGAGCTCTTCAGCATGTGGCAGAAGCTTGGTAAGATAACATTACATTCAGATACAACTGTCTTGTCATTCTAGCCTTCAAGGATAATGTCATGTGTGATTATAACATCGGTATTGTGCCCTCTCTGTGTGCTCCAGGTGAGAATAAGCCCCACTTTATCCCTGGAATGATGGGTCCGTTCCTGGGAGTGACGCTGGTGCCTCAGAGCGAAGTCCGGAATATCATGATCCCCATCTTCCATGACATGATGGACTGGGAGCAGAGGAAGAACGGCAACTTTAAACTGGTCAGTGCTGTCCCCTTCTGCGTGACACCGCTCATCCTCTGCAGGCCTTGTGGTACTACAGGTTATCACGCAATATCATGTCTATGTTACGGATCACGGATTTTACTGCTATAAGTGTCTAGGGAAATGGTGTGGTCGTTGATTCCTTATGCACTAACCTCTGTGTTGTGTGTGTTGTGTAGGTGGAAGCAGAGTTGATGGACAAGCTGGAGAGTATGGTGGCTGACGGGAAAGGGGACGGCAATCACAGAGAGCTCTTTGGCCTGCTGTAAGCACCAACAACCTCAGTCTTCTATTCACGCACAATGCTAAAGTGTTACTTGACTGCGTTGTACTACTGTTGTTTTGTATGCTTCTGACTTCTCTTGGGTCTTCTTCTGCTACGTCATTCAGGACCCAGTTGTTTGGGCCTTACCCCAGGTAAGTTATCAGTTTCTCCACAGCCCAAGCTTTAACTCTACCACTATCATGGTCCTTTCAAACACATCAGTCCTTATAGTCCCCTGTCCACTGTTACTGTGCACCAGCAACATAGCCTGTCTCTGTCTGTAGCCTGCTGGAGAAAATTGAGCAGGAAACATGGAGAGAGACAGGCATTTCGTTTGTCACCTCCGTCACGAGACTGATGGAGCGCCTACTAGACTACAGGTATTGTTACTACTGATCGATTGGATTACAGATTCGAAACAACGTGTTAACATCATAACATTGACTATTGATAAAGGGATGCACTGTAGAGCTATAGGGCATTACAAACCTGCTCTGCTTTTAGGGACTGTATGAAAGGAGATGAGATGGAGAAGAAGAAAATAGGTGGCTCTTCCAACCTCATGGTGAGGCATTTTATATGTTAACCCTTTACGATACCTCAGTTAGGCCAGTGTGCTACAGTATATCCATGTAGTGGTGTGTTGCTTCCATTTGTCTGTCCTCCCCAGAACTTCTACAAGTCTGAGATCAACAAGGAGGACATGTACATCCGCTATGTCCACAAGCTGTGTGACCTGCACCTGCACGCAGAGGACTACACAGGTAACTGGTTGGGATATATAGAACACTTTTCAACGTGCTCACACTGTATAGTATTAGAACCCTGGGACGGTCAGGATTACCATGTAAGGTCAATGATGGTTAATCATGCTGACCTTTGACCTCTGTGTGCTCCCCACCATCAGAGGCAGCGTTCACCCTGCTGCTGTACTGGGAGCTGCTGCACTGGGAGGACCGGCCCCTAAGGGAGTTCCTCCACTATCCCACACAGAGCGAGTGGCAACGCAAAGAGGGCCTCAGCCGCAAAGTGCTCCACTACTTTAACAAGGGAAAGGCAAGCCAAGCTAAATCAAGTCAAGCTAAGTTAAACAACAAGGGGAATGCAAGTCAGGCTATGTCCAGTCACTTTGGGTAGTATTTAAATGTGAGATACTCAAACTTTATTTTACATATGTCCCACATGGGTTTACTTAAGAACATCTCAAGTCAAAATCTCAAGTCTAAATATTTCTCCATGTCCATGATGTCTTTGATGGCTGTTTTATTCTGGAAACCCAACATTTCCCCCTTCAAATCCTCCTGAGAATGATGTTCCATAGACAGGATATTGTAAAAATGTATTGAGAGATTCCATATGTGTGAGATCTCGGTCTCTTTATCTCTTTCCAGTGTTGGGAATATGGAATATCACTCTGCCGGGAACTGGCTTTCCAGTATGAAACCTTATATGACTACCAGAGCCTGAGCTGGATACGGGTGAGTCTGTCTGACAACCCAGCACTGGCTGCCTTCTCTCTCTCTCTCTCTCTCTCTCTCTCTCTCTCTCTCTCTCTCTCTCTCTCTCTCTCTCTCTCTCTCTCTCTCTCTCTCTCACTCTCACTCTCACTCTCACTCTCACTCTCACTCTCACTCTCTCACTCTCTCACATAAGTCAGGGTGGTGCCCATGTAGCCCCATTGTCAGGCCAAGATGGAAAGTAAATAGAAATGAATGGAAATGAAATGAATATAAATACTTTATTGTCCTCACAATGTGGACATTTATTCACATTGCAATACACTGATGAAATATCAAAAACATTATGACCCATATGATAAAAAGAACCTCATTAATGTGTGTCGCTGATAAAAGTTCAAGATGCTCTCAGAGTTGAATCAAGTATTTTTGTCTTTTATAGAAAATGGAGGCTGCATACTATGACAACATCATAGAACAGCAGAGGATTGAACCAGAGTTCTTTAGGATGGGGTTCTATGGCAGGAAGTTTCCTTTTTTCCTCAGGGTGAGATGAACACACACACACACACACACACACACACACACTATATTTTATCTAAATGCTATTGAATTGGTTTGACAAACCTTCTCTCTCCAGAATAAGGAGTTTGTGTGCCGGGGCTATAACTATGAACGACTGGAGGACTTTCAGCAAAGGATGCTGGGAGAATTCCCACAGGCCATTGCCATGCAGCACCCCAACCAACCAGATGACGCCCTCCTACAAAGTGACGCTCAGTGTATCCTAACCATGGTCAATGTGTGTGTGTGTTGTCTCTGTCAACTCAACTGCCAGTATATTGTGTTTTCCTTAACGCCTGGCCTCAGACCTGCAGATCTATGCGGTGACCCCAGTGTCAGACATCACTGATGTACCTCAGCTGGAGCGCGTACCCGAGAGGATCAAGAGCTTCTACCGCATCAACAATGTCACTCGCTTTCACTACGACAGACCCTTCCACAAGGGACCCAAAGACAGGGAGAATGAGTTCAGGGTATGCGTGTGTGCAATGAATTTGAATCAAATGTAACTGAAATTGTCTGTTGATACAAGGTGTGTATAATTACTATACAGAAGGTGACTCAGTGTTTTGTGTGTGTGTTTTCAGAGCCTGTGGATCGAGAGAACCACCCTGATTCTGTCTCGTCCTCTCCCTGGCATCTCCCGCTGGGCCGAGGTGGAGAGGAGAGAACTGGTGAGGAGCACTGTCATCTCAAACTGTCATCTCACACTGTGACATCAGACGCCTCAGGAAGATTATGCAAGCTCGTGCATCATTTGTGTCAAATCAAATCAAAAATCTTTGTTTATTGAACGCGCACACCAGTGGAGGCTGGTGACTTAAAAAATGGAGGAGGATGGGAGAGCCACGTTATAGGCGCCGGACCGCACGGAGTCGACAAAGTGGGTTTCAAAAATCGTCAAAGACTAATTATTTTTACCTACAGCATTTAATAAAGACATTTATAGTACAATATTATGGGGAATGGGAATGAGAGGGCTACTTACACAGTGTTGGGAAGGGATCACAGCAGTGATTGAATGAAGGTATCAGGCATGAGTTGAGGTGTTCAGAGGCTTGACCAGTGCAGGACAGGATTTGACTGGGAAGACAAAAAACAATAACACAACACACTACACAGTTAGACAAAGGAGCTAAGAATGAGTTAGTCCAAGCAAGGAGTAAAATCATTGATGTGTAATAATGTGATTGTGTTTGTGTATTGACTCTACATACAGTACAGTAATGAGAGGAAATTGACAGGGCTACTCACAATGCTTGGCGAGGAAACATTCAATGCGCCAGTGGATGAGCGGGCACATGAGACGTGGCTTCAGTTCATGTCAGGAGAGAGTTGACAATGGTAGTGGAGTGGAGTGGTCATCCCCTCTTAATCAGGGAACAGGAGGGGACTAAGCTGGAAATACAAATAGCAGATACATTCCATTACAGCAGCACCATCATAGGTTTGGGCAACACGTTTCTCCATGAAGTTAAACTCAGTTAATCTCAGAATTTACAAAGTCAAACACAGACTGTGCATCTCGCCCACTTGACACATCAAAGTAGCCCAAGAAATGTTTCTGAATAAAGCCCTGATCATCCATATACCTGACGATAACTGACAAATGCGAGCAGACTGGTGGCACCATATGTCCCAGAGAGGTGGGGCAATTTTATTCCCCTGGAGCCCAGAGTTTTTCCTTATCTGGTAACCTAACCAGGAAATCTCTGGACCCTAATTGAATATAAACCAAATTAGATCACATTCACATTTTCTACTGACAAACAAATGGACTATAAATGCATAATGTTACCAATTTGTTTACCCTGACCAGACGGACAGGGCGCATACGCTGTATGCAGCTGCTCTTATTAGTAGCCTACTGTTGATCAGACTGAAAAATCCTCTCATTTTCATCCTATACAGCATGTCAGATCTCTAATGTTTAGGTGTAGACTAGGCTGCTGCAACATTTATGTAATGAGTTTTTGCTTGTGTCCAGTGGCGATTTTAGCATGTAAATCTTGGTGGGGCAAAAAATAAAATACAACAAAATATGCATGCCAGCAAAGCCACTACACAACAGAACACTAAACAATACATTAATTGCTCTATAGCGGTGACAAACGGTGCCCATAAACTGTTAGGGCCTACATAAAGCTGTCCCAACAGCAGAGCGTTCTTTTCAGCACCATGGAGTGAATCCTTAATACCGCTACACCTAGCTATCAGCAGAGCCTTTTCTGGCAGAGTTCATTCAGCCTCATTTACTGCCTTTTTAGAAAACATATCTGATATGGCTGACTTGATTAAACAAATGTGGTTTCTATTGACAATTGAGATGTACAAACTATGGCATAAGGGAACGATGAGCGGATAAGAGGCAATCCATAATTTCATTTAAGATATTATTGAGCGAGCTAAGACGGACATAGTCAATATAACTATTTGTTCAGCACTTTTGAAATGTACAGCGACAGAATTCAGAACATGGGCCGTTCTTACAGTATTCTCCCTGTACACCAAGTCAGAACTGTAGGATAAAGAAAGGGGGCATATAAGCAGACAATGAAAGCTCTTACAATATTCAATGATAACATTTCTCTAAAAAAGGCTACATGTGCAGCATGCACTCACTAACTGTAAGTCGCTCTGGATAAGAGTGTCTGCTAAATGACTAAAATGTAAATGAGGGGGAAGGGACTAAATAATTAGGCTGAAGCACATGGGCTACTAACAGCTTACTACACAACATAATCTTAGTATTACTTTCTTAGCTAAAGTATACATATCTCCCTGGCATATTACATCATTTATGCAGCAGCATACAATACATTTTTGGACTCACTGTTGTGCTGTGCTCACTTGAACAGGAAGGTGGCGCGGTGGTCCTTGTGGGCAAATTTTGTCAGGAAACGTTGTCATCAAAGTCTGTCATTCTCTGGATGTATAGTGCTTTTCAAAACGTATTTTCCCAGTCGGAGCTTGTTTTCTTTCGAGACCCAGTTGTCTTAAACTAACTGAAGTCTGAGATTTCCCAGTTCCGAGTTTCCAGTTGTTTTGAACGTGGCAGAAGTCATGCTGGATTGACAGCATGGCCAATATATTCAACCTTTTCTGGCACGTGGTGTTGCGTGTGAATGTTTATCCTTTTTAGCTTGGAAAAGAGACCCTTAAAGCCAGACTTGGACCACACACCCTCTCCACCAACTAGCAGGCAGGGGAAGCAAAGTAGTGATTGCTTTGCAACGCTTGCAGTTAGCCACTGATTCCTTCCAAACCACTCATTGTTTAATTTGTGATTTCCAACTTGTTGTGTAATGTTTATGTCCAATGGCCGATGAGCACCGATACGTTTTATCTATGATTTATCTTCATATGACAGTGATTGAAAAGGATTTGACAGTAGATTGTCGACGTGATTCATGATGATTGCTTGTCTAGCTGCTAGCTAAGATTTTGAAAGTATGATGTTTACATGATCTGTCCAATCAAAGCTACAGTAGATATAATGTGATTTGGCGTAAATTTATCTGTGGCCAATGACCTTGAGCCTTCTTGGATGGGCACTTCTAATGTAACTCTATGGCAGCACCCAAGGGGGCTTGAACTTTCTAGCTCGCCCTGTAGATTCTGCGGTGACATAGTGTCCCCATGAGTGACAGAACACTGAGCCAATCACTGCCAACTAGGGAAGATTACCAACCCCTACGCTCTGTATTTTCCACTGGCTGCCCCTCCACAACAGAAGGCACTGAGCTATGCTGAAACACCTGCATTTTGGAGCTGCCTTACATTTTACATTTACATTTTAGTCATTTAGCAGACGCTCTTATCCAGAGCGACTTACAGTTAGTGAGTGCATACATTTTCATACTGGCCCCCCGTGGGAAGCGAACCCACAACCCTGGCATTGCAAGCACCATGCTCTACCAACTGTGCTACAGGGGACTAAACCTTACTCAAGAAAGCAAAAAAGAGACCATGTTTGTATGCAGCTTTATGAACTCAATACATTTTATTTGCAAACTGATATGTGACATGTATTAATGTCACATATCAGTTTGCAAAACAGGTGGGGCTCAAAACAGGTGGGGCTCTGCCCAACCTGCCCTGAATGACAGGTCGCCACTGCTTGTGTCTGTTCGGAGTGATTATGTGTTATCACCTTTGCTAAATAAATACCGGAGGAAAGTGGAAAGCCAACAGTGGCTTGCAAAAGTATTCACCCCCCTTGGCATTTTTACAACCTAGAATTAAAATGGATTTCTTGGGGGGTTGTATCATTTTATTTACACGACATGCCTACCACTTTGAAGATGCAAAATATTTTTTATTGTGAAACAAACAAGAAATAAGACAAAAAAACAGAAAACTTGAGCGTGCATAACTATTCACACCCCCAAAGTCAATACTTTGTAGAGCCAACTTTTGCAGCAATTACAGCTGCAAGTCTCTTGGGGTATGTGTCTATAAGCTTGGCACATCTAGCCACTGGGATTTTTGCCCATTCTTCACGGCAAAACTGCTCCAGCTCCTTCAAGTTGGATGGGTTCCGCTGGTGTACAGCAATCTTTAAGTCATACCACAGATTCTCAATTGGATTGGCCATTCCAAGACATTTAAATGTTTCCCCTTAAACCACTTGAGTGTTGCTTTAGCAGTATGCTTAGGGTCATTGTCCTGCTGGAAGGTGAACCTCCGTCCCAGTCTCAAATCTCTGGAAGACTGAAACAGGTTTCCCTCAAGAATTTCCCTGTATTTAGCGCCATCCATCATTCCTTCAATTCTAACCAGTTTCCCAGTCCCAGCCGATGAAAAACATCCCCACAGCATGATTCTGCCACCACCATGCTTCAGTGTGGGGGTGGTGTTCTCGGGGTGATGAGAGGTGTTGGGTTTGCGCCAGACAACTTTGTCCCTGACCTGTTTGGAGAGCTCCTTGGTCTTCATGATGCCGCTTGCTTGGTGGTGCCCCTTGCTTAGTGGTTTTGCAGATTCTGGGGCCTTTCAGAACAGGTGTATATACAGTGGGTGAACTCAACACGACGAGTTGAGTTTTTACCAAAAAGTTCTATTTTGGTTTCATCTGACCATATGACATTCTCCCAATCCTCTTCTGGATCATCCAAATGCACTCTAGCAAACTTCAGACGGGCCTGGACATGTACTGGCTTAAGCAGGGGGACACGTCTGGCACTGCAGGATTTGAGTCCCTGGCGGCGTAGTGTGTTACTGATGATAGGCTTTGTTACTTTGGTCCCAGCTCTCTGCAGGTCATTCACTAGGTCCCCCCGTATGGTTCTGGGATTTTTGCTCACCGTTCTTGTGATCATTTTGACCCCACGGGGTGAGATCTTGCGTGGAGCCCCAGATCGAGGGAGATTATCAGTGGTCTTGTATGTCTTCCATTTCCTAATAATTGCTCCCACAGTTGATTTCTTCAAACCAAGCTGATTACCTATTGCAGATTCAGTCTTCCCAGCCTGGTGCAGGTCTACAATTTTGTTTCTGGTGTCCTTTGACAGCTCTTTGGTCTTGGCCATAGTGGAGTTTGGAGTGTGACTGTGTTGAGGTTGTGGACAGGTGTCTTTTATACTGATAACAAGTTCAAACAGGTGCCATTAATACAGGTAACGATTGGAGGACAGAGGATCCTCTTAAAGAAGAAGTTACAGGTCTGTGAGAGCCAGAAATCTTGCTTGTTTGTAGGTGACCAAATACTTATTTTCCACCATAATTTGCAAATAAATTCATTAAAAATCCTACAATGTGATTTTCTGGAGAAAAAAATTCTCAATTTGTCTGTCATAGTTGACGTGTACCTATGATGAAAATTACAGGCCTCATCTTTTTAAGTGGGAGAACTTGCACAATTGGTGGCTGACTAAATACCTTTTTCCCCCACTGTATACTGAGATCATGTGACAGATCATGTGACACACAGGTGGACTTTATTTAACTAATTATGTGACTTCTGAAGGTAATTGGTTGCACCAGATCTTATTTAGGGGCTTCATAGCAAAGGGGTGAATACATACAGTATGCACGCACCACTTTTCCTTTATTATTTTTTTTAAATTTCACTTCACCAATTTGGACTATTTTGTGTATGTCCATTACATGAAATCCAAATAAAAAAAGTTGTAATGCAACAACATAGGAAAAACGCCAAGGGAGATGAATGCTTTTGCAAGGCAATGTACTTGATAATGCGATGGAAACAATCAAATCATTCTGAATTGATTTCAACATTCCAGAGAAGACAGTAGAAACTTCCATATGCTCAGCAAGTAAAGCATCGTAATGTGCAATTACCTCTGCAAGCTCCTTATAGTTGCCCTTGTTAGCTGAACTTTTCCTCCCATCGTGCCTCTAAGTAAAAGCCAACTCTTGCCGATAAGTTGCTTGTGACCCTGTTTCTTTTTACCTTCTCACTGTGTCGCGCAGTTTGAATACGCAGATGTTCGTCCATTACATGATCGATGCAGCTTTTTCCATGTGGGCAATGAAAGGGGTTCTCCAACCCAAAATCAACTACATTGTTGTTAGCATTAATTAGCCATTTTGGCGGAGAAAACTGCACCCTGGTAGCTAGGTAATATTAGCACTTGCTACTAAAGTTAGCAAGACAAATTGAAATAAATTGCACTAACTCCACACAAAAATAACGTTTGAAAATCAAGAAAACAAAATATAATCTACCTTCTCTGTCTTCTGTAGTTTGAAGAAACTAATTTGAACTTAATAATATCCTAAAAATGCTCAACTATCACTCTTCACTCTTAATCTCTATCCAATATGTAACCAACTCACCAAGCTTCTCAACACATAGAACCCCCATAATGCTCTGTGGCACAACACCAATACACCACACTAGGATCGTTCTCTGATCCTAATCCTATGATTGGATGGACAAAATCTCAGTTCATATTGCAAAAGCTTTGATTGGTTGGAGGACATCCTCCGGAAGTGGTCATAATTACCATGTAGGTCTATGGAAGGGGGTAAGGCCTACAAGCCTCCCAGGTTTTGTGAGAGAGAATTATTGCATGTTTCATAGTGGATTCAAATATATATGTGTGTGTGCAGGTGGAGGTGAGCCCTCTGGAGAATGCCATCTACGTGGTGGAGAATAAGACCCAGGAGCTGCGGACCCTGATCAGCCAGTACCAGCACAGGCAGCACCATGGCAACATCAACCCCCTCAGCATGCTGCTCAACGGGGTCATAGACGCTGCCGTCAACGGGGGTATTGCCAGATACCAGGAGGTACTAAGGGAAGGAAGGGAGGGAGATGGGGATGGATGCGTGGGTGGGTCGGTGGGTGGTTCGGGCAGTGGATGGGTGGATGGATACTTTGGTAATTTTCTTCCAGGACATGTATTGTTATCTGCCATGCCTTGTAACACATTCATATGCCATATTCCTCCTCCACAGGCATTCTTTGATAAGGACTACATGAACAGCCACGCAGAGGACACAGAGAAGATCACTCAGCTCAAAGAATTGATGCAAGAACAGGTCAGACAAAGCTCTTAACTCGTCACTGCACACTGGCCAATGGTCCATACAGTGTACATTGGTATAGAGGACAGAAACCATATGTTCTCTCTTTCCGACATGTTGTTTCATTGTCACAGGTTCACATCCTTGGAGTGGGGCTGGCCGTCCACGAGAAGTTGGTGCACCCAGAAATGCGTCCCCTGCACAAAAAGCTGATCGATCAGTTCCACATGATGAGGACTGGTTTGCATCACGTGAGTGGTTCTACATACTCTTCTGTTTGTGTGTGTGTGTGTCCTCCTGTGTCCTAATGTGTTGGTGTGTCGCACCCGTGTGTGTGTGTGTCTGTGTGTGTGTGTGTGTGTGCGTGTGTGTGTGTGTGTGTGTGCGCGCACATTCAGCATGATTATTCAAAGCAGTGTTTACATGTGGCCCAGCAGGGGTTGCCAGCAGCCTGCACTGGAGTCAACAATCCCAGAGGCATCCTGACCACTCACAGCCACATGAGCCCAGAAAGTGTCCGTCTGATTCACAGACACAGGTCAGTCACATATTGTACAAAGATTTCACTTGGAAAAAAGAGATGCTACAGTAATCTCAATGTGAGATTAAAATATGATTCTCTCTCTGCAGCCCAATGAACCTGCAGGGATCTATCCGTCAGTCCTCCTCCTCCCTCTCTTCTCACACCTCCAGCGAGGCGGGAGGAAACCTGGTCATCCTGACAGACGGCCTGATGGGAGAGCACCCTGAGGACACGGCTCACATGGAGGTGGGTGGAATGAATACACACACACTCAGGTTTTGTATGTTTTGAAGATATGTGAATGAACAGATGTATTATTTTCCAGCCAAGCCCCTCCTCCTCCAGTCTGAGCTCCATTCGTTCCACCTCCTCCCAGGTTATCAACTCTGCCCCATCTAGTGCCAGAGGTGAGTGTCACCTGCACCAGGCAGTAAATACCTCCAACTCATCATTATCATCTTCTTTGGGCATTTGAGAATGAAATTTAACATTCTCAACAACACATATTTTACCTGACATGTTGTGCTGAGAAACAACAGTATTAGCAAGCACACAGTTCCTTCGGAAAGTATTCAGACCCCTTGATTTTAACCACATTTTGTTATGTTACAGCCTTATTCTAAAATTGATTAAATAAAACATTTTCCTCAGCAATCTACACACAATACTCCATAATATAATACCTTCTTTTTTTGTGCAAATCTATTACAAATAATGAACAGAAATACCTTATTTCCGTAAGTATTCAGACCCTTTGCTATGAGACTCGAAATTGAGCTCAGGTGCATCCTGTTTCCATTGATCATCCTTGAGATGTTTCTACAACTTGATTGGAGTCCGCCTGTGGTAAATTCAATTGATTGGACATGATTTGGAAAGGCACACCTGTCTATATAAGGTCCCACAGTTGACAGTGCATGTCAGAGCAAAAACCAAGCCGTGAGGTTGAAGGAATTTTCCGTAGAGCTCCGAGACAGGATTGTGTTGAGGCACAGATCTGGGGAAGGGTACCAAAACATGTCTACAGCATTGAAGATCCCCAAGAACACAGCAGTGGCCTCCATCATTCTTAAATGGAAGAAGTTTAGAACCACCAAGACTCTTCCTAGAGCTGGCCACCCGGCCAAACTGAGCAATCGGGGGAGAAGGGCCTTGGTCAAGGAGGTGACCAAGAACCCGATGGTCACTCTGACAGAGAACCTTCCAGAAGGACAAACATCTCTGCAGCACTCCACCAATCAGGCCTTTATGGTAGAGTGGCCAGACGGAAGCCACTCCTCAGTACAAGGCACATGACAGCCCGCTTGGAGTTTGCCAAAAGGCACCTAAAGGACTCTCAGACCATGAGAAACAAGATTCTCTGGTCTGATGAAACCAAGATTTAACTCTTTGACCTGAATGCCATGTGTCACATCTGGAGGAAACCTGGCACCAACTCTACGGTAAAGCATGATGGTGGCAGCATCATGCTGTGGGGAGGTTTTTCAGCAGCAGGGACTGGGAGACTAGTCAGGATCGAGGGAAAGATGAACAGAGCAAAGTACAGAGAGATCTTTGATGAAAACCTGCTCCAGATCGCTCAGGACCTCAGACTGGGGCGAAGGTTCACCTTCCAACAGGACAACGACCCTAAGCACACATCCAAGAAAACACAGGAGTGGCTTCGGGACAAGTCTCTGAATGTCATTGAGTGGCCCAGCCAGATCCCTGACTTGAACCCGATCGAACATCTCTGGAGAGACCTGAAAATAGCTGTGCAGTGATGCTCCCCATCCAACCTGACAGAGCTTGAGAGGATCTGCGGAGATGAATGAGAGAAACTCCCCAAATACAGGTGTGCCAATCTTGTAGCGTCATACCTGTGTAGCTCAGTTGGTAGAGCATGGCGCTTGCAACGCCAGGGTTGTGGGTTCGTTTCCAACGGGGGGCCAGTATGAAAAATGTATGCACTGACTAACTGTAAGTCGCTCTGGATAAGAGCGTCTGCTAAATGACTAAAATTTAAAAATGTTAAAAGACTCAAGGCTGTAATCGATGCCAAAGGTGCATCAACAAAGTACTGAGTAAAGGGTCTGAATACTTACGTAAATGTGATATTTCAGTTTTTTATTTTTAAACCTGTTTTTGCTTTGTCAATATGGGGTCTTGTATGTAGATTGATAAGGGAAAAAAACAATTTAATCAATTTTATAATAAGGTTGTAACGTAACAAAATGTGGAAATACTGTCCGAATGCAGTCTGAATACTTTCCGAATGCACTGTAGATAGAACATCAGATAGAAAATCAGATCAAAGATCACTGATAATGATCAAAGTGTTTTCATACTTTGCTTTAATTATTTTTGGCAAACAGGGATACCTAACAGACCTGTAAGCATCCATTTAAAACTTATTTTCACTGTTGTGACTTGAGTGAGTGATATGAGCCTATTTTACTGTTAGTCAGTGTACCTCCAATGTATCAATGGGGGAAAAGTCTGTCCTCTTCTCGACTCCTCCGTCCTCCTCTCCTCCGTGACCTGGGAACCGATATGTGTAAGTGGTCGCCATATGTAGGAGAGTGTCAATTCGTTAATAGGCGAACCGAGGAGTTTGCTCCTCTCCTCGATAGCCTCCGTCTGGCACAACTAGCTACATTTCCTTTGACCACTTTACACATATGTTTTGCGATTCCTCATCTGTAAACTTAATTTGCCTGATGACGGGCTAGTGGAGAAGGACAGTCTCATTTTATACAAGAGTATTTGTTTCCAGGTTTCCTCTCCTTGCCTCCTCACATCAATTACCTTTGACCTTTTTTAAAAAGGAGGGAAGGAGAGGATGGAGAAGAGGATGTGAAGAATTGAGCAAATCCAATTGAGATTCTTCCAATGGGTCTCTGGTGTCTGTCTGACCTGTCCTCTCCCCCCTTCCTCCCCCAGGCTCTCCGTCTCTGCCGGATAAAGCCAAACACAACCGGGAGGTGATGATGCTCCTGCCACCTCACCAGAGAGTCAACAACACAATGTACTACACCATGACTGAGAACGGACAGGTGCTGACGTTACAGGCCAACACATGTTAAAATAGCACTGAAGTGAACTGATGACATTGCTGCATTAGTTAATTAAGGAGAAGACGACAGCTAGTTCACTGCGCGTAAGAACAATAGGTTGGCCAAAGCAGAAATAGACTGGTACTGAGGCTACAGAACATACTGTTTGTTCTTGTCCTTTTCAGTTATCTTTAGACTCTGTTGTCTCTCTGTTTGCAGAGCAATCATCTGCAGCGTGCCTTACTCCAGCAAGTGAACCCCTGTAAGCCGTGCGTTGACCCTCCCATGAGCTTGCCAGAGAAAGGTGAGTATACTGTATGCCTGTGGTAAAAAAGGTAAATGCTAGTGTTCTCTAGTGTTCATGAGAAATGAGCTAAGTAGGACCGAACTTCTAGTCCTAGCTCTGTAGTGAGCCTGTGGTTTGCTGGTGTTCCCACAGTGTTCCCCAGTGCCCCGAGCAGCTGGAGTCTAGATGGCGAGGGCAGGGAGACGGTACCCTACATCCAGGGACCTACAGGGGGCGTCATCATGCCCCCCGTCCCACCCAGGTCCTTCCCACCAGGTAACACCAATTATATACACCTTATCTATGTGTAAGAGTCCCTCAGCTGTCATGTACACTAGATCGGTGGTTTTGGAAGTTTATTCTTATGTGATTGTTTTTACCTCCTCTCTTTAGGTCACTTCCTGATGCACTTTGATGCGTTCCACCACCAGAACAATGACCCGCCCCCGGCCCTGCCTGTTCGCTCTCTCAGAAAGGTAAAAGACAGTTTGACTGTACCGGTACATCTTCTTTACTTGGTCAACAGATGCCAACCCTTTTTTAATCTTCCTCTCCCTCTTTCTCTCTCCATCCCTCCAGTCTCCTCTTCACCCCATACCCGGCTCCCCCACTAGTCCTCAGTCAGCCCTGGGGGGCAGTAATTCCACCCTCTCGGGCAGCGCCAGCAGCGGGGTCTCCTCTCTGAGTGAGAGTAACTTTGGGGGCCAGTACCCCGATGCCCAAACTGTGCGGAATGATGCCATGGAGCCCTTACCCAGCCACCTGTGGACCCCTGATGAGTACCTGGCCTCTCCCTACCTGCACATCCACTACAGTGGTCCAGAACCAGAGTCCTTCGACCATGTCCGACCCTTCCACTACCGTAACCCCGTCTCACACCTCCCCCACTCCCACCCTCACTCCCACCCCCACTCGCACCACCAACCGTCCGGCCTTGACGGTCAACCTCACCCCCACTCTCACGGACCCACCCACCACCAGATACCCCTCCACGGCCCACACCACATTCCTTACCGGCGCCCCCAGCCCCCAGCTGTGCCCCCCAAGCCCTACCTGAGGGAAGGCTGCATCCCTGAGGAGGACCTGAGCTCCCTGGTGCCCCAGCCCATCCCCCTTCCCCGGAGGATCTTCCACTCCCCCCACAGCCACAGAGAAGAGTTAGCCAAGGCTGCCTGGGAGCAGTGCATCAGCGAGGAGCACGAGGAGACACAATGAGGAGACTACAGGGCTGGGCCTCTTGGAGATTTCACTCACCTCAGTGCATCTTAATATTCTAAAGTGGCTCCCTTCCTCCTGTCTCCTTTCCTTCAGCTGCATTGATGTGAAAGAACATGGGCTGGTGAATCATGCAAATACATTGTAGGCATGCTTTCATCCATCCCATGTTTTAATATCAGAGCAGATGAAGGGGAGAGGAAGCCACTTTAGACTATTGAGATGCACCCTCACTCTCCTCACTGTATTCAGTCTGATTCTGAATGGATGAAGCAGCCTCATAGGAATTAATAAGGGAATATTATCTGTTGGACAATATGACCGATAATAATGACTTTGTTTAAATTGATATTGATTGTACACTATTGTACAACTAGTCTGTGAGCATGTTTAGTTTATTTTCATTTGAGAACAATATACACCCGTTTTGTGAAACATAACGATCCTGATCAACATGATCAACCGATACGAGCCCCAAATAGAATATCCCTCCCTTTTCCACAACGAAAGGCAACTACAGAAAGTTATACTCTTATTAAAGTGATGTTGACTTTTCTGTTTTTAATGCTTAATATATCTATCCTATTATTTTGATACCCTTGCTACAGTATGTATGGGATTTTCATATAGACTTTCATTCATCTTTTTTACAAAACGCTGTATAGTGCTTCACAATGTGGCATTCTCCAATCCTCTGTTCTGTTCTGCTACCTGGTTCTCATTGAAAGCAGGTCTGTTATTTGGACCTGGGTCACTCTTCTTGACCCAAACCTCTAGGGACATATAAACCTCAGTTTAGGATTATCCCTCCATACAGTACGTATGGAAAAACAATGTGAATGTATTCAAACAAGATGTACTGTTTGTATTACGCAAGTGGCAGGTCTTCTTTTCTGTTCAAGTGCTTTTAAATTTAAGTTACGTCTTTATTACAGTCTTCTTGTCTTTTGTGTAACAGACCGAAATATCTCATGAGAGGAGCGTGAGCGTTACCCAGACTGAAAAAGCTGATAAATCCTTGGGAGGGCTACAAGGAGGGGTGGATATTGTCAGGTGCCACAGAGAGCTCTGGAACAGCAGTGAGTTCCAATGTCAGTTGCACAGGTTGAGTTGGACTCAATAGCACTGGATTGTTCCCTGAAAGGAGATAGTGATGGAGAAAATAACCATGGCGAAAACATCCTCAACACTCAGCTAGGAGTAAGATGAGAAGTAGCGAAGAATAATGGCTCAACAGTACCTCAACCACCTATTGGACTAACTATACTCAGAAAAACAACTATCACACCCTCTCTCTGCCTCTATATGTTTCAAGACGATGTCAATCAACAATTACTACATATGGACTGTGTGTAAAAAGGACGAATGGCAATGACATTGCTCCTGTCTGATTACAGTACGTTACCTCTTCTACTCACCTTCGCCCACCGAATGGCAAATCCAAACTCCCTCAAACAGCGTTCTAAACAACTACCTGCCTTAAGTGCACTGAAATGCAGAATCAGTCTCTCATTCCGACACCTCACTTGACTGTTTCTGTGACGCTCATGAAATGACAGCTCTCATTTTTCATCACGTTCTCGACACTTTCCGATCAAACCTTATAATATTAATGTGTGACATCTGTTTTGTCCTGCCTTGGTTGAAGATTGTTGTTTGGTTTGCAGCGCTACAGTATATTTCGTTCTGCCTGCAGTTTCTCTTCACTTTGATCTGCAATAGAGAGATGTTTGTGTGTACAGAAGATGAGTATGAGAAGCTCAGACAGGACCATGAGGTTGATCTCCTTGTACAACAGACAGTGTTTGCTGAGATGTAATTTATAACTCACCAGTGGGTTGGAAGGTGGAGGTTACTGTTTCAAAGGCAGGTCTTTGTTTCTCCCAGTTGTTTTTTGCAGGTGAATGCGTTGCTTTGTGTTCTTGCACATTAGGTTGTCCACTGATCAGACAACATCTATTTTTGTATGCAGGTACATCAGTTGTGAGGACATATTTCACAGATGTATCATGGAAGGATGCAGGGTATGTTTTGCAGACTGTGGAGTTAGTATGGAAGAGCAGAACTATAGATCAAATATAAGATGGAAGTCAGGTGTATGGGGAACTGATGTTGGTGTGAAAATAAATTAAGAAGTGGAGCAATACTCAGATTAAATTATAGGTACAATAGAATTTTTCAATGTAAATTCTGTTACTGTACATACAGCGGTATTGTGAAATATTTTTGAGAATTATTGCAGACCCCCCTAAAATTATTGTATTGTTGTTTTGTGTAAATACATGTACTCCAGAAATCGATGTAATTGATGAATATCTATAATCAATGTTTAAAGAAGACAAATACATTAGACTGTGGTTGTCTGCATTGTTCTTGACTTTAAGTCTTCTAATATAAATACTTTATACACTTTTCAATGTGCTTTCTTGTACATATGGTGTTAGCATGATCAAGCAGTGTTTGGTTGTAAAAGTGGTTTTCCTACTCCCATAACTGCTGTGGTATGGATTCATTAACAATGCCAAACATTAAAGACAATCTTTTATCAGCTCTGTCTCTGTTATTTCCATCGCTTGCTGCTCTGTGGAAAATAGCACCAATGATTGGCAGTATGTTTGGCTGGGAATGGAAATTGATAGTAGGTGGCCCTGCTACTTCCACATACACAAATCACTGTCAGTCAATCAGTAAATCTTTATTTTTTATCAGAAGGAAATTTGGTTGCAGACAGGTGTGACAGTTCAATACAGATATTTAGCTATTAAGAAAGACACTTTGTTGTAAAAATTGTTTTCTTGTAAGGTTCAAAGAAGCAAAAGTCAAAGCATCTTGTAGGAACTTTGTATAGAATGTTTTAAAAAGAAAATGAAGTAAAGTTGATTCACCAAAAGCAAAGCTAAATTGACAGCTGCTTTAAATAATGAAAATTAACCCTGCAGTACAAATAGCCCAGAAAGGCTACCTCACCAGAGGGTGAGCATTAATCCTGGCCTGAGGGTTAAACGCAGCCACACTGCCCAACCTGAATCTGAATTTCAGAGATATAAATTTAGTTCCTGTCCAACTAGATGCACAGGCGTTGCATTGTATCAATCAATGGTTGCGTGCAGTGGTGGAAAAAGTACCCAATTGTCATAATTGAGTAAAAGTAAAGATAGCTTAATAGAAATTGACACAAGTAAAAGTGAAAGTCACCCAGTAAAATACTAATTGAATAAAAGTCTAAAAGTATTTGGTTTTAAATATACTTAAGTATCAAAAGTAAATGTAATCCAGGCTCTGTCGTAGCCGGCCGCGACCGGGAGACCCATGGGGTGGCGCACAATTGGCCCAGCGTCGTCCAGAGTAGGGGAGGGAATGGCCGGCAGGGATGTAGCTCAGTTGGTAGAGCATGGCGTTTGCAAGGCCAGGGTTGTGGGTTCGATTCCCACGGGGGGTATAAAAAAAAATATATATAATGTATGCACTCACTAACTGTAAGTCGCTCTGGATAAGAGCGTCTGCTAAATGACTAAAATGTAAATGTAAATGTAATTGCTAAAATATACTTAAGTATCAAAAGTAAAAGCATATATAGTTTCACATTTCTTATATTAAGCAAACCAGACAGCACCATTTTTTAAATGTATTTTTTACAGATAGCCAGGGGCACACTTCAACACTCAGACATAATTTACAAGTGAAGCATTTGTGTTTAGTGAGTCCGCCAGATCAGAGGCAGTAGGGATGACCAGGGATGTTCTCTTGATAAGAATTCAAAAAGTACTTTTGGGTGTCAGGGAAAATGTATAGAGTAAAAAGTACATTATTTTCTTAAGGAATGTAGTAGTAAAAGTAAAAGTTGTCAAAGATATAAATAGTAAAGTAAAGTAAAGATACCCCACAAAACTGCTTAAGTTGTACTTTCAAGTATTTTTACTTACTGTAAGTACTTTACACCACTGGTTGCGTGCCACGTCATCGACTGTTCAGTCGGGCATCCGATGGCTAAGTCCTGTTCCCCTACTCAGATGTTGCTGACGCATGCCAGATCTTACAAAGCCTGGATAGGTATTTTACGTATCAGCTAACCACATGTTATAGCAATCTTGCGCCCGACTGCACAGTCGATGATGTGTCACACAACCATTGGTTGATGCATGCAACGTCTAAGCAGGGGAACACAACCTATATCATATGATGTGGTTAGCTGATTGGTATTTAACTATCTAGGCATTGTGAGATCTGGCATGTGTCTGCGATGCAGTCGGCCAGCAGGAACTCCACCCTAATGCTGCGTTCATAAGCAAGTGGTAATTACCAGTTGCAAAGTTGTAAATACCAGTTGGATGCCTTCACATGCTTTGAACTCGTTGAGAAACGCCAATTGGCTAATGGCCACAAGCCGTATCAACCATAAACTAAAAGTACAGCCATCATGCTTGTAAACAAAGTATGGTGTTCCAAAGCCATATTAATAGATTGCTTTATATAAATACTGTTTTATTGTTGCATTTAACTGCCGAAAATGCTGTTATCAAGGTCCTGTCCTTAGTAGGTAATGTCAGAGGTCAGCATATGGAGAAGTCGAAGCTCAGGGATGATAGACGAGTTTCCCACTAGTAATTATCAGTTGGAGGGGCGTTCAAGTGGATTTTTCCCAGTCGTATGTGGTAAATGCCACCTTCCCACTTGGTTAGGAAGGTGACACCAAAGGCAGGTAAGTAATGCTGCATTAGTGTGCAAAGCTGTCATCAAGGCAAAGGGTGGCTACTTTGAAGAAACTCAAATATATTTTGATTTGTTTAACACTTTTTTGGTTACTAAATGATTCCATGTGTGTTATTTCATAGTTTATATGTCTTCACTATTATTCTACAATGTAGAAAATAGTAAAAAGAAAGAAAAACCCTGGAATGAGTAGGTGTGTCCAAACTTTTGACTGGTGCTGTACATCAAACACATGTCCCCTATCTATGTCTATGTCCCCTATCCTCCCGGCCGGCTCGGTCCTCCCCTCC